CCCCTCCCTCTCCCCCTCCCTCTCCCCCTCCCTCTCCCAACAAAGAAAGAAGGAAAACTTTTCAAGGACTGAGGACTTTCTTACCTTGACCAATTCTCCTGGCTTTATATCACAATAACTCAAAAATGGTTGCTCGATGACAGACCTTTGAACGTGAAAGTGAAAAGAAGTCTCTACATACATGTACAAGTGCATTGATGAATTTAAATGTTTTAATTCTTTAAGGATATTACAAGAATCATTTCATTTACATTGCAAGAAAAGATGATATCATCAAAGGATGCATCAACACCTTTTACACAAACATGTACTAGGATGTGTTTTAATGACAGGGATGAAACGCAGGGCAATTGAAGGGCTAAAAATAGGTCAAAAAGCCATTCATAACAGTTGAACTGAGTGACATAAATGTTGTCACATATTCAGACAGTTTGCATGAGCAAGCAAACAACTCAAGAACTCACCTTTCCATAGTCAAGTTAACCAAGCCATCTAGAGAATTGAAACCAAGAATACGGCACCTGAAGGGTAATTTGCACATTATCAACAATGCTGAGTGAAACCAGGTTAAAACATTTGAGCCATAAACAGAAAAGCCTATAGTGACGGTCCTTTTCAACACTAGGGTTTTCCAATTTCTTTCATATACTAACGGTATTTTCCTTTTCCAGTCAGGCTCTTGATCAGTTGTTTAGATACTTTTTTAGATAGTTTTCCTGTCAATAATGTTTACTAAGGCATTAAACCCCTTTAATCCCAGAAGTGATTAGAAGTTAGACAGGTAGAAGTTGTTATCTTGATCTAACACCAAATTCTTGTAACTGATTTAAAATGAAATGTGTAGCAGCTATAGGGGAGAACTAATAACTAGATCTTGGAGATTTTGCAAATAGTTTTTGACCATGTATTGAGTTCTCCCAGAAAAAAGGTTCTGTAAGTTAAAATGCCACTGAGGTAAGAACTCTAGGGAAGTAGGCAAAGGGTAGAGGAACATATCAGATTTTATCTTGATTTTTAATTTTTTTTAAAAAATCAGTGACAAATCTCTACCAAAGCAAGTGTGCTAAAATGCCACAAGATGAAAGTGTTACAGTTTGTTCACTTCAAAGACATTGATTTGCCACCTTAAAGAAAAAATCCCAAAATTAGTCCACATCAGAAATTTTTGTAATCTTGAAACACAACCATTTGTTCCTGCACAACACAGTTTTCTAATAAAAATCAAACTCCAACAAAATTATCACGCCATATTGTGGTTCAATCTACCTGTGGGTGCTTCCAACTTTATACTTCTTTCCCAGTTTCTCAACATGCTCGTCTGACACTCTAGAAATCTTAAGTCCAAAAATAAAAAATTTCAGCAGCACTGTCAGGGAAAATTGGTAATATACTAAAGATTCCCCATCTTGGAAGGTTAAAAGCCAGGGTATATATGTAGATCTGACCAAGGAATGACCTCATTTTCACAGGCAAGACACTCTATGTAAGACCTCTCTCCATTCAGGATTATAACCAGGGTGATTGGCAGGTCTGCATCTTTCATTTAAAGCATTTTAAGAAAGCTTTACCCTTGCCTTATACCTTCAAAATGCATTATTTGTATCAAACTGGGCAAATCTAAATCAAGACAAACCCTATAAAATTGCCAAGCCCAGAATAACAATCATCAATTTTCCTCAATTGTGGAATGCAGGAATGAAGTAGTACAGTGTAGAGTGTGTGCATCCACAGAGTTGAATCTCTTTCACTAGTAAATTATTATAATAATAAAAACTTACATGAGTAAATCCAAGAATTCCATCTGAAAAACTAAAAAATAAACCCATTTTCTGGTCAACTCTGATCACAACAGCATCATCAATGACATCACCCATTGAGCAATGACCAAAGCTTGCAGTTCTGTGGAGTACAACTTTCTCTTGAAGACTTACTCCAACTGTCTTCTTGTTGGCATTCACATACAGAATGCGACATTTTACCTGCCAATACACCAAACAAGCAAACAACAAAAGATAAGATACATTAGGGAGGAACTAGGGAGAAACAGTTAACACCATGTGTACCAATGTGTACCTAGCCTGATAACAAAACTGTAGAAAAGTATCTTCTGGCACAAACAAGCAATTGCACTACATGGCTACACTTCATTTCAAGGTCTATCCCATAGAGAGACCTGGGATAGCTTTCAGAATTTTTTTTTTTTTTTCATATGTCATGTAAATTCATCTTCTTACTCTAGGTGACTGCCAATTTTTCAAAACTACGAATCAAATTCAATCTACATGAGAAACAAAAGTCTTGAGAGTGGCATGTTTCAACCTTGAGCTTAAAGAGTCAGGGCTCCAAAGAGCCCCTTAGGTGCACATCAACTTGGTTAAATTTTGATGAAACAAAGTCCTCCATTTGTTTTTGAGGCAAGTCCTTTGCTATCAAAATCATAAGTAATGTAGCTGATAATTCAATTTGTGACAAATGTTGCTGCTCTTAGACCCATAGCCATCTAAGTTACATACTATATAACATGAATAAGTGCTGCCACTCCCCCCCCGCACTTATTCAAATAATTCTTTCACAAGCCAGGGCTCGAAATTAGCGATAACCTGTTATCCAATGGTTAGTAATTTTCAACGTTTGGTTACTAAAAATGTGTCCAACTAACCCGACATGGTTAGTAAAATTTTCTAACATATTTAAACATTGGTGGACTTCAGAACAAAGAGCATGTAGACCCGACTCTCAGAAGAATACTTAGAATACTCAAGTTGTTAAATCAACTTAAATTCTTTTTCGAGAATGTGCTGTAGATGTACTGTTCTTGACTAATCATGGTAAACGAGAGGGAAATTAAAAAAGTGCATTTATAATTGTCAACGTTTTTAAGGTCACCATGCAATTTCAGCCACTCTTTAATTTGTCCTAGTCGTTATTATCAAAATGTTGAATATTTGAGATATCGTAACTTGTGAGCTTGGATACCAAACTTTATAATTTGGTTAGTAAAAAAGATGTCTACTAACCTGAAGGGTTAGTGCTCCAAAAATTAAATTCGAGCCCTGCAAGCAGTATTTGGGAACCATAATAATTACACTTAATATGTGACATCATACACTATATTTAATAACCTTTTTCTTTACAGGATAGGTTTCCTCCAAATTCTTTCCATCCCCACCACAGTTTGGAAGATGAATTATATCTGCTGATCCTTCGAATCCTCCCAAGAAATTGAGTATCAGACCACTCCCAGTCACCTGTGTTTACAACAAAAGTCATTTTATAAGGACAGCAGCATTACTGGTAATTATAATAAGGGGAGTTTTTCCAGATAGTGACACAGCTTTTACTGTATACTGCATGGAGCACTTTTGGATTGAACCTTTAAAACCAAACTCCAGTCAGAACTACGATAATATATCACAAGGACTAAGATATTACCTGAGTTACAGATGCTTTGACAAGCATTCCAGGAAGAAGAGCTGAGAACTTCAATTTCAAATCCTCTGTAATCTACAAAAACAACAAAAATAATGTGACAACAAACTTTTATTCTCACAAAATGGTATTCAAATCAAACAGGAAAATTGTTTTAAAATTTACAGGTAAAATCAAAAGGAGAATCGTTGAATCATTATTGGAGCCTAGAGGATAGAGGAACCATGAGAGCGTCCAGTAATGGCAGATATTAGATCTAAGCTCGCGTTAAAGTGGTTTTGTTTGAATATGCACGGAATCAAGGCACTTGGGCCAAAGGCTTTGTAAATTCTAAAAGGTATCACTGTATATTTCAAAACCACTCGCATTTTATGCTATTTTTTTACTTTTATTGACAATCTGAAGCATTCAAAAGGCAAAGATAGCAATGGTTAGACATTGTATTGCATTCGGATGCAACAACCAGAGCGATAAACCGCATTGCAAGCATCTTTCGTGGCATTCACTGCCACTGAACAACAAGAAACTTCTGGCGACTTGGCTAGTCAAGATCAAACAGGAAAACATGCCCGTAAGTAACAATTCCTTTTATGCAGTGAACATTTTGAAAAGGAAGCCTTTTCCAAGTCATATGCTGGCTGGAAAGTAAGTCCTAAGTCAGACTCAGTTCCAACAATATTCAGTTTCTCCGAACAGAAAACCAAAAGGAAGGCTCCAAAGGAAAGACACTCGATTGATGATGCTTTCCGGCCAGCATATGACTTGGAAAAGCATTCCTTTTCAAAATGTTCACTGCATGAAAAGGAATTTTTACTCACGGGTGTGTTTTCCCATTTGATCTTGACTAGCCAAGTCGCCAGAAGTTTCTTGTTGTTCAGTGGCAGTGAATGCCACGAAAGATACTTGCAATGTGGTTTATCGCTCTGGTTGTTGCATCCGAATGCAATACAATGTCTAACCATTACTATCTTTGCCTTTTGAATGCTTCAGGTTGTCGATAAAAGTAAAAAAATAGCATAAAATGCGAGTTGTTTTGAAATATACAGTGATACCTTTGAGAATTTACAAAGCCTTTGGCCCAAGTGCCTCGATTCCGTGCATCTTTAAACAAAACCGCTTTTACACGGGCTTAGATCTAATATCAGCCATCGCAATAGTAATAACATTTTCAAAATGTGATTATGTACAAGAGATCACAAACATAAACCTTACTGCTTACAGCTGGTGCACTTTTTGATGTACATACATACCATTGCACCTTGAATCTCATCTTCATGTACACTGACTGAAATGAACCTCTGCTCTTGCGCCACAGACTTGATTAGCAGTGAAAGGGGATTACCCTCTTCAAATTCTAGAAGAAGTTACAATAAAGTCATTGTCCATTGTTTTAAAAGAAAATCATTTTAAACCGAAAATGTCAAAAACACTGTTTTAAAAAGAGCCGTCTCAAAAAAAAAAACAAACACGTGGTATATGTACTAAGGTATGTAGTATGTGCATACTTAGACAAATTTAATATAACTTCTATTACTATCAACTGATACCTCTGGTTAGACTGGTCTTTGGTAGAAAAGCTGATGTACCATCAATGCCAAATGATATGAGGTAGCCATGGTCTTCAACACTTTTTACAAACCCTGAAAGGACCTACAAATTTTTAAGATGAAATTAATGTTTACAGCTAGTAAGTAAGTAAGTAAGGACTTTATTTATAGAGGGGGACACGTAACAGCTGAAAAGCTGACAAACCTGTGGCCCTCTAACTAGATTATACAGCATTACAAAAAACTGATAAATAAATAAATATATAAATAATTACAAAATTCTATGATAGAAATAGCAGGATATATTAAAAATATTCAGAAAGATAAAATTAATTTATAAAAAATTAAAATTAGATAATGTGCTATTGCTTAATATTGTTTCAAAGTTGTCCAGGTTTTTATATGAGCTTATAAAATGCTTTTTCACAGCTGTTTTGAATAGTTTTATACTAGGCTTATTTTTGATATCATGGGGAAGGCTGTTCCATAACTTAACTGCGTCAACACTGAATGCCTTGCCACCATCGTTATTTCTTAGGTATTTGGGACACACTAAATTTAAATTGCCATGTCTAGTAGACCTATTGTGTACAGAACTGTTCGTCTTGAGCAAGTCTCTGATGTAAATCGGAACATCGCCTTTAAGGCTCTTAAAAATCATTGTACACTTATTTAGTTTGATTTCATCAAAAAAAGGCAACCAGCCTAGTTTACTAAAGTTTACAACACTTCTAGAATAAGAGTCCACTCCAAGAATTACTCGGGCAGCCCTTTTCTGTAACCTTAGGAGACAGTGGAGTTCTTTAACGTCGCAGATATTCCAAACCATGCTCCCAGCTGAGTGCCACAATTTAGCCACTTAGTCACATATTATATGATCTGTAAGCAGGTACTTGATGTATTACTTAATCAAAACAAACTAATGAACAATATATTGATTATATTAAGTTTTCAGCTGGCTAAAGGAAATGTTCATAAAGTTATTAATCACTCAACATACACATGGTCATTTATGTGTTACATATACAGAAAGAAGCTAACAGTGAATGGAAAAAGTCATGGTACACTCTACTACAATCTGAATTTTTTCGGTAACTTTCATTCAGCTCCCCCTTCTCCCCCTTTCAGTTGCCTGGTGTTTGCAAAATGCTCCTTAATTTCAAGCAAGCTAATGTTTGGCAAGGGGGGGGGAGGAAGGGAGGACTTTTAAGTAGCTTGTTAAACATGAATTACAAGACTCTTGAGGAAACTTATTTTGTATGCCTTTTAAATTAGCACTGTTCCATTTTGTATGGTTCAAAACTTGGGTGATAAACAAAGAAAAAAAAGTCACACATTTCATCGAAGGGTGGCCCAATTTCTGTAAGGATCTTGCATTGCCAAGTGAAATCCGAAAAGAACAACAATGAATAAGCAATGTGCCTAAACAATAGCATGAAGATATGAATACTTAACAACCCACAAAACATGGGTACACACTTAAATTGAAATGAAGTTGAAATGATTTCTGTTTATTATGTTGAGTGGAAGGTTGTCAACAACCTAGTATGTAAGAGGAGACATGCCAACTACTTTTGCCACTCACAATAGATACACAATGTACATGTCACTGGAACATGTAGAGCACAAGAGGAGACATGCCAACTACTTTTGCCACTCATGATAGATACACACTGTACATGTCACTGGAACATGTAGAGCACTGGACCCATAGTTAGCCATTCTCCCAACTGAATCATCGGTTCCAACCCCTCCTCATTTCCCTTCTCAAAGACCACATTTGAATCACTGTGCTACAGTTCTCATCTACATCAAGTCTGAATGACAAAAAAATGCACATCTCTTATATTCCAATTATTATCAGTTCTACATGTACTTACCATTCCTTGCTTTAAAGATGACTTGGTGATGCCACTATTGAGCTCTTTAGGATCCACAGATAATTTGATTTTTCTTTGTCCAGGTTTTGAGCCTTCAGTCTCCAAGACTGAACATTGCACTAGAGATCCTACTGCAAAGAATTTGGTGAGCCCTGGGAAACTTGGTGTGTCCTGTAATAAAAAAGATAGAGTTTTCCTGTACATGACAACTTACACTTTCAAAACAGGCGGGAAAAAAAAATAGGCATCTCTTTGAGATGGTAGAACCAAAAAATACCTGAAAAAAAAATCAGCTCGAGGAGGTAAAATGTGGCATTTTGGCAATAAAATTGACTAATCAGCTTTATTCACAAAACACAGCATTTCACAATCCAAAAATTTACTTTTACATTCTTGTGCATAACATTGTAAGTGTCAGCTTTGCAACACAACATAGCTCATGAGAAAGGGTCAAGTTCATACTTGTTTCATAACATGAACTTGGGACGTGTGTGAACCTGGTGAATCTGACTAGATCCCAATAATTTAAAGGATCTAATCACTCCTGAGATCTCATTGTTAATTCTCTTTAATGTCTACTATATTATTCTTATAATAATAAAGTTTGTAGACTTTGGTATTTGATCACCTGTTTGATATTTGTATCATTATTGTAAAGAGAAATTGCCTGGTCACTCATGGGAGCATAACCATTAATTTATTTATTTTAGGGGGGGGGGGAGAGAGTGCTGAGGACAACATAAAGAATACAACAACCCCTGATTACAGATTTTTGGATGTTGTCCCCTCACAATTAAAAGTTATTTCCAACCTCTGTGTCTCCACTCTCATCAACCTCTAAGATGTTCTTCAATCTTTCAGTGATCTTCTCATTCACGTTTGTAATATGGACAAATCCACTCAAACCATTTGGAAGACTCATAACCATGTCATATTCATTCACTTCACGGATAGCTCCCAACACTTTCATTCCTACATAAACTTTCTGAAAAGAATTTAGAGTGCAAAAGTTTTGAGCACCAACAAAATACAACAAGGAAGGACTAACACGCTTGTTAAGAGTTTCAGGTCTCTTAAGTTAAAGGTTCTGTGAAAGAGATTATAAGGCCAGCATGCAAGTCTTTCGGACAAAAATTAATACAGATTATTTTAAAAAAATCAAAGCTCCTTGAAATTTTTCACTTTCCATTGCTGAAACCACTGCATTGACATGATTTTAACTCTGACTATTTCACCTTATATATGCTTATTATGATAATGGTTGATAAAATAAATTGAGGAGTGTAATTATGAAAGATCACAAGACACAACTGTACCTTGAAAGTCAGAGTTTCCACAAACTTTTGTTTAGACTTTGCTATAAATTCAGGTTTGCTATCATCCACTTTGGACTTCTTGGGTTTCTTACTTTTCTTTCCACTTTTTGGGAGTAATTCTGGATCTGATGATGACCTCTACAAGTAAAAAGGTGAAGTATACAAGGTTGAGGGTTATGACCATTCTTTATTTTTAAAGCCTCTATCCTGATAATACTTAGATGTAAAGCAAATTCAAATTACTGAATTACTTAAAATGGGTGAGTTTGTCATATTAAAGAATCCATGTTACTCCATTACCCCAAACAGAACATCCCTCTCAGCCTCATTCTTTATTTTCCTCACTTCCAGAGGACTCAGGGCAGAAGTACCACCGCGGGGAAAGTCCACTTCCTCAGCATTTCTTTTGTTAAAAACACTACTGAATAAAATCAAGCGATAAGTTAAAATAACAATAATAGCAATAAAAAGGATAGGTATAACAACAACAACAACAGCTACAATAATAATAAATAACGGTAATAGGACCACGTGGAGTCCAATTCTGTCTTTAATAAAATTGGACATCTGTGAAGCTGGAGTCCAATTTGTTTATCACAAGTATGATTACCTACAGAATTAGATGACACAAAATTCTGTTACCAATTAATCAAAACTATGGCAAAAGTTAAGAAATAGACAAGACATTGGTTAAACATTTTCATAAAAAAAGCAAGAGGTAACTCTGTGAAATGCATGATAATAGTGCACATACATGACATGCTCTGTTAACTTACACAGACATGATGTGTTAACTGTCCCTTTTTGTTCTCTTACTCTGTCCAATTATAAGCACGATGCATACACTGTCCTATAAGCACTCAAACCGGGCTGGTCATGACCAATCTTGTTTGAGAATTTTGTTACAATTTTGATTATTATGATAATAATACTCCCAATAACAAACATAAAACTATGTGATAATTACAAATGAAAATGAAAAAAGAATAGATAATAAACTGAAATAGTTCAATAACTCCATTTCCTTCCTTTTTCCCCATTGAAACATTTAATTCCAAAGGAATAAGTAAAGCTGGACCACAGGTCGGAAGAAAACACATCTCCAACTAAAGGTTTCTCAGTTCGACACACTCTAGTAACTCAACCCCCCAAGTGGAAGCCTGATACTTAGAAAAATAAGACAACCCCTGACTTATGTGAGCATATCAAGTACAAGTACTGCATTTCTAGCTATGAGCCACAGCTTTTTTTAACACAAAGTTTACGTTCTAAAAGTTGGTCTGGAGTTGTTGCACATGTCTGAAAAATTGATACATGTAACAGAGGTAACCTCTGCTTGTTTCATGTGACCTAGCGTTGGGTCCCATAAAAGCCGTTGGGCAGACATGCACATGCATTCACATCCCGTGATGTTACCATCGGGAAATGGGAGTTTACAAATTGGAATCTGCCTTGCTCACGACATTCACGGCGATCAATCAAGCTCATATGTATTATAGGGAAAGAACACTAACTATATAATGACTTTTCTGCATGAGGACTGATTTCCAAGTAAAATTCCAGACTTTCTGAGAGAATACTTTCATCAACGAGTATTGATGGGTAGCTACAGAACTTGATTTTGGCTAAAATTTTTGACTGAAAGATTTCGATCGCTAACTTTAAAGCTTCAGTCGTCTTCCGAAAAACACGTGGGTTACCAAAACAAGCACACATGGGATTATGCAAAGACTTAGATCTCAACTGTGTTTCGGCAGTAAGATCCCTACTCACCTAACAAAAATAATGTTATAGTTCTTTAAGTTGTAATGAAATCAAACTATGCCTTAGGCTTTACTAACCTTGGTGTTTCAGGGCTTTTTAAAGCGCTTTTCCCACGACCTACCTTGGTCGCCATCTTGCTTTTTCAAAATGTAGTGTCCAGTCTGCTTCAGTCAGTTTCCTGAGAGGATCACAGGCATGCAATGCATGCACGTGGTGAAGAAAGTGGTCTTCAACCCCAATTCACATCAGCGACCACATGTCTATAAACGGTTCAAATTGTTTTCTTCGTTGAAGCAGTTAAACTACTGTTTTTCAACTTGAAATTTAGCAAAATGAAAATACAAGTTAGTGATCACTTGAATACTGGGCAAATCTGAGCATTTCCGTTTTCTATGGCTGATTTCATACAGTTAAACCTGGTTTTACTAAACTCATTTTGCTGGCGCGAGTAAGGTATTAGATGGATAGAATATTCAGGAAGGTAACCGGTTAAGATTAATTTCAATATATCAACAAAGTTGAAATGGTAAATTGGCCACCGTTACGATTATAAAAGCTGACGTTTCGAGTGTTAGCCCTTCGTCGGAGCGAACGGTCAAGATTAAGTTTCTCAAGCTTACGAAACTTCCGTGATTACGAAACGAGTGCATGCCAAACGTAAAACGCTGCATTTTGATGTTATAGAAACGAAAAACGCTCCCCTTTGTTGTTAGAAACGAACAAAGCTTTTAAAACCGTTACTAAAACATATTTTAATTCTGTTTATACGATCGATTTCTATGTAGTTAAAGTCTTCATGGTATTCTTAGAAACCAAGAGAAAGTTTCTCAAGCTTACCGTGAAACGTCCATAAGTATGAAATGAGTACATACCAAACAAACAACGCTTCCCTTTCAGTGTTGTTAGAAACGAACGACGCTTTAAGTATCTTCATGGTGTTGTGGGAAACAAAGAGCACTTTCGTGATAAAGATTTCGCAACTTTCAGTTGCCTATTTATAGTTTGTAAGTCTGATATTTTAAATCTTTGTTTCTTAGGGTGACTTGACTTTTTTTTCGGGCGACATGGCTAAAATTTCGTAACGAAGTCAAAAGATATGACTGTGCCCCTAAGAAATTTTTGCCAATTTTAACTGCTGCCATTTTAGGTCCATACCCGTCATGACATGGTATAACAACAATATTATAAACCTAATAATATACAAGAAAAAGTTACACTCGTCTGATTGGCTGAAAACGAGTGCATTTTTCATGTATAATGAGTGAAAATTACGAATAGCGCGCACGCCGTTAAACTTTCGTCTTTACTTTCTGTGATGCTTTTTTCACGCAAATCATTAACAAGCAACAACATGATTTCTCGCGCAATTTGGTAAAATAAGCACTTGTAAAATTTTCAAACTGAAGACTACAAATTACACTCGCCCAACGGGGTCGGGCAATTTTGTTGTCTGTGAAAAATTTACTCGTGCTTATTAACTCCAAATTACACTCGAAATCATGTTAATACCTATACTAATAATAAGCCAAGAGTTCACAGTCCCTTAAATAAGCGTTTAAATCCTAACATCACTGAAATATGGCCGAAAAACGTTTTTCTCTTCAGATGAACTCCTGTCCACAGATGAATGCATGAAGTCCAAGTTTGAGGTTAAGCTGAGAGATCGTAAATTTATAGATTTCTAATTTCTGGGTTTAGATACAACTCTAGCTCTTCAAAGGCCCCCTATGAATTTCTAATAAGCCCCCAAGGGGTGTCACCACTCATTATAAATGTCAACGATATTCAAGACACCATCTAAAGGGTTTTTCGAAAATGGTCTGATACGTTTTTTGATTACCTAATAACTAAAAACAACAACAATCACGGCTTCACTCAAATGTAACACCGCAGCTTTTCGTACACCTTTTAACAGGAACATTTCAAAATTCAGCAGCCGAATGATTCAGTGGTTTTCCTTGTGACAATAAACATGAAACTGACTTAAAGCCATTTCAAAGAAGAGTTTTCAAACTTCTTTAAACTAAGGCCCAGTTTAGAATGAATTAACTACGTATCATACAGATACATATTTTTTTTATAACAATTGAATTTTTGCTATATGTACATATTTATCGTTTTTATAACATGAGTATATTTTTATTTGCACATACATCTAATTTTTTTCTTTTTTATTAGTATTGTTTATTAGTAACATGGTTACATATCTAGTTCATGACGAATGTAGAGCTACCCTGTAGAAAAGTCATCACTAAACCATTATTATTATTATTATTATTATTATTATTATTATTATTATTATCATTATCAATAAACTTCAGATCAATCAGAGACCAAAAACTAAGAACAGGAAACTTAAATGAGTTACGAAAACAACAGCCTGAATACCGTTACCAGTAAAACGTCTTTAAAATTTGAAAGTGTCTGAGACGTTGTTGCAAGCTGTACGTGAGAAATTCCAAGGACTTAACCGCTTTAAAAAAGGCACTCCTCCTGATGTTTATTACACACTAATTAAAAACAGGCAGAAGACCAGGTAGAGCTGTAATAAAAACGAAAACTACAAAAAAAATAAAAAAGGTTTCCTATTCTGCACAAGGTAAATGTCTTGGATACTATCCAAAGTGTCAACACGGTCAATTAGGACTGCAGAACCTTTTCCATGCTGCTGAACAAGTTAAGAAGACGCTGGGTTGACAGCCGTTAATGTCGTTAATTTTGTCTCCCTGAGGACACCTTTCTTTCCATTTTTCTTGCGTTCCTTACTTTTATGGTCACTCTTTGAAGAGGTTGCAACTAAAGCTTCGTAAATATAATTTCCAATATCGAAGTTACGTTTGTCCATTTGTGTCTTGTTTTCAAAAGGGTTCGAAATCAGTTCATGCTCTTTTTCCTTTCCATAAGCAGTTTCCGTGTCGTGTTCAGGACATGCAGATCTTTCTCGCAGAGACTTCTGTAGGAATGACTTGTTCAACTCGCACTTTCTAAATTCTCCCCCAAAACGAATCAATTCGTTCTTCTTTCTCTTTAGTTTGCACAGAGCTTTTTCCTTAACTCTTGCCCGTCTCTTGCGTACGCTCCACCGCTGGAAAATGTAATCTGGCCAGCATAAAGACCATTTTGTCCGATTAAGTAACATTATCTCGTAAACAATTTCACTTTTATCGGAATCGTTTGGTTTAGGCCGTAAGTCGTATAAAACCCTTGCGAACTTTCTTCCTTTCGGCTTCTTGACGTCCTCACCAGCAAACACAGCGCTGCAATCTCCGCGGCGGAGATTTGGCCACGTACAGTACTTTGAACACCCATTGAGTGATACTCTTTCAATAAGGACAACTTTATAGTCACTTCCATTGTTGTAGTCCTCAGGTATTTCCTCTCTTAGAATTACAGGAAGGAGCCATCTTTTACGCTTTCCCAAGGAATACAAAAGTCTTTCTCGCCGTGAACCACCATATCTTGCCATTATGAATCTACCTAACTGACACTGGGGCTCATCCAAGCTTTCTTTCACCACATTATCATCATCAAGACCGTCATCTACTTGAAATTTCTTTAGACAGCTTCGAATTTGTTCTTCGCTAACATTCACGTCCCGGCTGTTAACAGCTTTGACAAGAAATCCAGAGTTTCCTCGATTGGCGGAAAATGCTCTACACAGACTCTTTCGAACGGTTTGACCGGTATGGATGCCGAACTTGCTTTTCTTCTTCCAAACCATTTTAGTATTTAGTAGTCACCGCTAGCTAGTCCGCCTGCAACAAGTTTATATTGATAACCGCTTGATATCTGAGCCCCACTTCCCTTACTCACATAATGCCGGGTATATAACTTCCCATGATAAGATGCATCTCATATCATATTGACCACATTTGTAAATCATTTGTAAATCATTTGTGAATCAGTATCAGCATGACTAAGCACACGACTAAGAATAACAAGGAAAACAACGTAACAGTTTGGAATATACACTCGATTGTCAAAAATTAAAAAAAAAAAAAGACTCCTTGAACCATGAATGATAACACCCAAAGGGTCTGTTGGCAGTGTTCTTAATTCTACATTAGAAGTGATTTGCTTTTGTCGTTACTTGTGGCAAATATTTTTGACGATTCCATTCTTTTCAAAAAAGCGAAAAAGTTCCGTGTGACTACTTATGCTTATCATACATGAGTACCTATGAGGTCATTGGGTCTTATGCTATATGATTGATACCTTTGATTAAGATGTGAACGAGTTTACAATTGAGTGCATAAACCTCTTTTAGTATTTGGCTCAATTTTTCGCCATTTCATTTTTTAGGATTTGGGTAATTTTCCGCCGTTCCGTCCCATGGGATTTGGGGTAATTTTCCGCCATTCCACCGTTCCATCTATTAGGGTCGCCCTCTAACAATTAAGAACTTTATCAATTGTTATTATATGGCTGTGTCTCACAAGGACTGGGAACTACCGAATTCACGACTTTGATTGGCTGAAATCAATATTGAAAGCGGTCTAGATTTTCCCATCTAGACCGGTCTAGAAAAAAAAGGTACAAATTCTCAGCCCCAAAAATAACATGGCCGCCATCGTCATCAAAGACACCAAACACAATGCATAGCTTGTTATATGAACTGCCTCCGCTGTGCATCGATATTCGTGGACCACTAATATCCGATTAGTAACAGAGAAGCTGGGCAACAAGACCAACCAAAAGATCAGTAGTTGCCAACCGATAAAAGAGTTTGGAAGGCGGATGGAGGGAAGATTCCTTGTTGAGGGTAGCAATGATAAGAGAACTCGCAAGACTCACTGCAATGGAGAGGAGGATGTTGACTGCTGAGAAAGGAATAAATCATCCAAGTTATTAAAGCCCACCCAAAAAGGGCGAACATAGCAGTTCTGCGTTCCAGCCCTAACGAAATTTGTTGTCGACATAGTTCTTTATTTGTTTCGTTTTCCTTGTGGCTGTTTATTCAAATTAGCACCAACATTTAATTCCCTTGGCAAACAGAAAGATGTCGGCCTCCTATATTTTTGTTTGACAAATTGGTGGAGAAACTCTTTTTTGTCAGTCTTTTGAATGAAAAATTAAGTAATATATTCAGCTACCCTTCACCCCTTTGGGCCGAGAATTTAGTAGTAAAAAACTTGCTCTGCACTGTGTTTAACTATGAATTTCAGTAAAGCTTTCTAAGAAAAGAGAAGCGAAAATTAGGAACATTTGATCGCTCAGAAGTGGTAGAATTAAAACGCTGTAGACAATTGTAACATACACCAGCATTAAACTGGACATATTAAATACTGTCAGGAGTCGACAAAATTTTGAATGCAATATTGTTTTTTCCTTTAAACATCATACTTATTAATATTTAAAGTGTTTTGTCACTTGCATATGTCAAATGAGTTTACTAAAGGACGGTCCTTGTTTTTTTCGGAATAATATATCAAATATTTTTAACTGCTAAATTGGCTGTTTTGTCAAAATGCGATTTTTCCCTCAAACTTGTCAGGTGCCTCAGGTATGAAATGGCAATAAGAGGCAAATGGCGAGACATCTGTGGTATCGTTATTTTAAAGGGTGAAAATAACTACGCTTTACCTAAATAAATTCTTATGGATAGGGAGAAATAAAAAGTTCAAGATTGCGACTTTACTTGGTCTAAGTAACAATCATGATAATTCCTTTTCTTTTTAGAGTTCATAGTTATACCCTATATTATTATTTGCAATAAGAGGAGACAATTCGTAGGGAAAAAGCAATTCATGTCACTTTAATCTGGTTTTATCTCCTTAAAAGCCTTAGATTAGACGCGGGATTCTATTGTGCAACACAACTCGTTTGACTTAGTTCTTATTAACCGAGCGGGAGAATCTTGACCGAGGTCGTCAGTACAGACCTCACTGCCTTCGGTCTGTACTCTGGCGACCTCGGTCAAGATTCTCCCATACAGACCTCTCGCTCGGTTAATAAGAGCTAAGTAATAAATTCCTTTATTCTTGTAACCTTACTGTGTGATTCAGGGGTGATATTGTGAGGAGATGTAGACAGAAGTCTCTCTTAGAGCCTGTTTACATGGAGGTGGGGGACCCCAGGTAGGTGAGGTAACCCGCCTAGCCGTTGTCGAAAAATGGCCCGCGTTTACATGCAAACTTACAACCCCAGGGTCCCGGGACTCGCTTTGGCGCGCTTTGCAAATGTAACATGAACTCGACCCCGGCTAGGTGGGTTACCCCACCTTGAGTCGTTTACATGGCAAATGCGGCCCCGGCTGACGGGGTTACCCTACCTGGCAGACCGGGCAACCTGCCTAGGCGGGTTACCCCACCTATCATGTAAACATGATCAAACAAAAATGAGAGATTATATGGAGAGGTGGGTTACCCCACCTAGGCAGGTTACCTCATCTACCTAGGGTCCCCCACCTCCATGTAAACAGGCCCTTAGAGTCAAAGAGCTTAGCAACCACTGTACTTTGATGTCTGCACTACCACCCCTCTTCCCAATGAATGCTGGGAATAAGTTTTGATGGGCATACTTTATCCCATCAAAACTCATTTGATTTTTCGCTTTTCTCTAGAACAACTCCAGTTTTTGGAAACCTGGGCCCTATTCAGAATTTCTCATGAGCTCCCAGTGGGTATAACCATTTAATGCAACTGAACATTCAAATATGTTTTTCTACTTTTTAATTATAATTAACTTGGGAAATCTAGAAGACATTTCAATGTTTTAAAAGGGCCAAAATAACTATTTATCATAACCACAAAGTAGATAATTTCCACTTTCACAATTTTAAATGTTCAGATGGATCCAATTCATTTTTTTTTTTAAATTCTCACCGTCCTGGCTATCCATCCATTTAGGTAGTCAATTAATAAGATATTCTACCAAATATCTGTCTTAATCAAATTTTTAAGTTTCAATTAATTGTTTATCTAAAGTCACTCTTTCAGTGATGATGAATGTTCGTGCAGACTCTTCTCACACATTCAATGCAATGCTTTCCAGCTTTCAAGAGCATTTCAAAATGCACCTTGTCACTCTGTGAGCAAAGTTTCCTTTTATCAGCCAAATGTTCCATCCATTTAGGTAGTCAATTAATAAGATATTCTGCCAAATATCTGTCTTAATAAAATTTTTAAGTTTCAATCAATTGTTTATCTAAAGTCACTCTTTCAGGGATGATGAATGTTTGTGCAGACTCTTCTCACACATTCAATGCAATGCTTTCCAGCTTTCAAGAGCATTTCAAAATGCACCTTGTCACTCTGTGAGCAAAGTTTCCTTTTATCAGCCAAATGTTCCAGTCTCTCTGCAACAAACAGCAGGGTTGATACAAGTCTCTTCAGCTCATTGTGTCGCCTTTTTGTTTTCGAAACTGCCATCAATATCGAGACACCCTCAACCACAAAATGAGCCAGAAACTTGAAATCTGCTGACAGTTTAAGATACTTAGGGAGATGATGAGAGTTGTAAAGGCTCAGTAATAAATTGTTACTTGATGGTGTTGATCTTTTTACAGGAGGGCAGTGGCTATTGAAAACTTCATGAAAGTGCAATGCTTCTTCTAGCCTCTTAACAGCACTGTACTTCTTGTACAACATGGGACCAGCTCTTGCCATGCGGTTCACAATTGCAACCCGCAAATTGGCATTAAATCGTGTTGATCCAATATCATTGACCAGCTCTACCTCCTCTTCTTCTTTGAACTTTTGGTCACAGTCTGCACTCCAGTGTTTATCATTCCAGGGCCCAAGACAGGTCCAACAAAATTCTCCCTCGCACATGCCACAAACCATATGAGGACATCCTTGATTCTTTTCAATGGGATAGCTGCAGTGAGGACATCTCTTGACATTTACAGAAGTTATTCCACCTGATTTAGTTTTCACAATTTCTTCATATGTTTCTGTCTGTGAGTGAAAAAATGCTGCCTCATTGCATGAGGCTGGCCAATGGGGCTCCTCTTGACAAGAAAAGCACCAGGTATGCCCACACGAACAATGAACAGGCAATGAAGCAGTCTTGTCCTCTTTGCCTTTGAAGCCTTTGTGTGAAGCTGCCTTCACAACCAGGTTACACTTGTTCCTGGGACACCACTTCCACTTGGAACTCATCTCCACAGCTTTCTCTTGCCTCATGGTTAACAGTTTACGAAACATGCCTGGTAGAAGACCCATAAGTGTCACATCATCCACAATGGTATTGCAGTCATATGCTGGGCATTTCACGAATATTTTTCCTTGTTGTAACTGAGCAGAGAGATAACCCTTCCAGCAATCATTGCAGAACCAGTGGAGACAGGCCTTCAGAGCAGTACAAGGAAATGCAAATGTTCTGGTATCTAAAAATAATGATTGCTAGCAATTAGAGACCAGAAGAACACATACGTACATCAGAAGCTTACTTAATTGGCTATCAACCACAAATGGTGCTATAAAAACTTATGAACAAAAATCCTACAATGTAGCACTTAATTATCATTATATACATTAATACACTCATTAGGAAAAGTCTGATTGGCAAGAAGCAATCAATCAGTATCAAATAGTGTGTGAGGTTGAAATGATAAATGCAATATTTGCAGCCATAATTTGTTGCATTTATCATGGCGTGTTCAAAGTCTGCCTAGTTTCCATTTGTCATTTGTGAACAAATTTGAACAAATAACTTTAGAAGGATAAAATTCTCATATAAAGAAATAACACCAACATCTCAAGCCTGGATGTTAGTCCACTACCAGAAGTAACCCTGCATTTTTATGAGTTTCCTTGTTTGTTTGTAGGTTCCCATTTACACTCCAGGGGGGTCTTGGTAACTTGACAGACTTGTAAGCAGTTCTCTTTTCATTCAATATGAGGATTTCAAAAGTTTTGAAAATTATACAATCATGAAAATATCAGCTAAAAAATAAAAAACAAAATGGACTAGTTGGGATGCTAGAACCTGCTTCTCTATTTTTTCAAATTTTAATTTTAAAATATGGCTTCAGGCCTGTTCAGTTATCGGGACTTTTAATAAATGGGACCCTGAACAGAGAGACAAATGAGGATGGTTCAGTGTCTTTTTTTTTAAAGACCACAACAGAGTACCCTGCTGGGTTAGAGCTAAAAATTGAGCCTGGTGTTCTAAACATAAACACTGAACATCTCTCATCATAAACAACAAGTTGGCAGGCTTAGATAAATAGAATAAATACTTACCATCGCGAGTGTCATGATAAAACTCACAGCAACAGACTTCACACACAACAGTGTCAGGTATGATGGTAGTTTTAGATTCTCCATCACCTGTAGCTGGTTGAGCAGGGAAAAGTGCATTGTTACTCAGAATATCGGGCAAAGCCAGACTCACAGTCAATGCCCTGTAGGACCACCTGTTGATATCGCACAACAAATCAAAGGGCATGACTGCTACTCTGTCAAGTTGGTTGTTGTTTGAGTTTGGGCTGTAATCAAGTGAACTTTTATCAGCAGGTAAAGGTTCTTCCAAAACTTTGCTCTCACACTCCAAAATTCCAAAGAAATTCTCCAAGAATTCCTTGCAGTGCTGAGACTGTTGGGAAGGCAGTGCATCACTCACAACAGCGACAGTCACTCTTATAGCTCTCTCATCTGTAGTCTTAGTACTATAGGGGTGACATGTAAAGACAAATTTTGTGGACGGATCTGAGACGCCAATACTGAATCGCCGAGGTGCACTTTCACCTTCTATGTACATCTCTCCAAATTGCATGTGCAATGCCTGTCTGTCAAGTTTGTCATTAGTGATGTCTACATCTACAGAAAATGACCTATTTTGGGGAACACTTGCTGTTGTTACAGGCACACCTGGATGGCCAACATTTGTAGTACCAATCCCTGGGTTGGCATGGATACCATCCAAAACGTCAACACAGTTAACATGGACTGCAGAACCCTTCTCATGGTACTTAACTAGCTGAGACGAAGCTGGGTTGACAGCCTTTAATTCTGTCTCCTTGAGGACACTTGTCTTTCCATTTTTCTTACGGTTCTTGTTGTCAGTTTTTGCAGAGGTTCCAGCTAAAGCTTCAGAAATGTATTTCCCTAGATCAAAGTCACATTTATCCAATCTTGAAAAGTGCTCTTGCTTATCTGAACTTGAAACCAGCTTGTCCTTACTGTGATCAGTCTCTGGGCCGTAATCCAGATTTCTTTCTCGTAGAATTTGGTAGGGAGTCTTGTTCAAATCGTAATTGCTAAACTCTCCCCACAAACGTGTTTTGTTCTTCACCCCTTTCTTCTTACAGCGGGCCTTGTTCTGCTCTCTGAAATCCCTCAAGTCGTGCTGCAGGTAGCTAGGCCAACACGAAGAAGATTCTGTCTGATTCACTTCGTAAAGGATTTCAGTTTTGCAGGCATCGTTCGACTTACTACGTAAATCGCCGACATGAGCGAACTTTCTTCGTTTCGGTTTCCTCGCCTCTTCTCCTTCTAAAACCGCGCGACAATCGCCTCGCCTGAGCCTTGGAGAAGAACAGTACCAAGAAGACCCGTGGACTGATAGTCTTTCTACAAGGATAACCTTGTATTCGTTTCCGCTGTCGTAATCTTCGGGTATTTTCTCTCTCAAAACCGTTGTCATGAGCCATCTTTTACGCTTTCCAAGGGAGTACAACACTCTGTAGTCCAGATATCCCCCACCACCACCAAAGCGCCAATGGCGATCATCACGGCTTTCCTTCACCACACTGTCTTCGTCGAGGCCGTCTCCTATCTGAAACCTTTTCAGACAGCCCCTGACTTGTTCATCAGTGAAGTTGATGTTTTGGTTTCTAACAGTTTTGATAAGGAATCCGCAGTCTGCTTTACCAAGACTAGTCGAAGAATTTCGGAGGGTTCGGCCAGTGTGAATGCCAAACTTGCCATTTTCCTTCCAAACCATGCCGGATGGGTCCTCTCCGGCGAAAACCTGCAGACTGTGCTCAACCAATGGTTTCGTCCTCAAATTTATATTCCTCCAAAATTTCCTCAGTCAGCGAAACCTGGTGTTATGATTTTGTACCCATCCAAAAAGGACTTATTTTGGTACCTCTACGTCACTGTGTTCGAGAAGCTTGTCATTGGTCAATCTGCCCACACAATATCCGGGTCATTCGGCAGATCCTTTTCCGCTCAGATAGTAAACAAACTGGAAGGAAAACGACTATATTTAAATAAGGAAATTGTGAGAATAGAAAAGATATTCAACTGAGTAAGCCTCCATTTGTATGCAAAAAAGAGTGAGACAGTGATTGTGTAGTTTTACGACTGAGTACTTAGTTGTTCGGGAATATTTGTTAATTTGAAAATTTTAGAAACTTCTAAGGAAAGGATTAATATGTAACTTCTCCCTGTAATAACCATACATCATCTAATAAACAGGTAATGAGAATACTCAAACTTGTCTGGTAGAAATTGTTATCTTAATCTAACACCAGATTCTCCTAACTAATTTTCAAGGAAATGTCTTGCAACTAGAGGGGAGAATTAAAAAACAGATCTTGTTAAAGATCTGTTTTTTAATTCTTAATGTACATATACATGTACATTAAGAATTTTTAATTCTTAATGTACATATACATGTACATTAAGACTTGTACATGTATATGTACTAGCCTTACACAAAGAAACTTGAAAAGCGCAAACTTAAGATTTCCCGCAAACAAATAATGAATAACTATTGTAATATTTTTAATTTTTCTTTTTCTTTCACGGTTACAATAATTATTTTTTTATTTAAATCAATTATACTGTATCAGAGCAGCTAAAGAGAGTCATGATTTTCCTACCATTTAGGGCCTCTAACTTTGACCACCTTTATAATCTTCTGGTTGGATTCAGGAGCCCATCAGTGGGCTCCTGCTGGACCTCGATACGTGTCCTTTAAACGTTTTTCAACTGATCAGTTTATAATAATAATACCGTGATAATAAATAAAAGTTATATAGTGCTGGACTACAAAATGTCCTAAGCGCTTAAGGTTACACTATATCACTAACCTGGTCACTGAGAGACGATATTTGTTCTATAAATGACACTATTATCTATTTCTAAAATATATCATAAGATTTTTTTCTACACAACTCATTGTTTTCATTTTCGTTAACGATGAGGTGCAGTAAAGCAGCGTATCTTTATCGTATTAAGAGATAACATTTTAGAAATCTTTTGTTTATGAGGTCACCTGCCGTACCAAACGCACCCTGCCCTCATGTTTAAAGATAAATGGAAATAGAACTTGATTAGCATACGGACTACATGAGCACAATAACACAGCGTTCTTCTAAGGCACTTTCGTTTTAGATGAAACTGTAGACTTATCCATACCGCGATCCAAGACTGCCTAAAGCTCAGAAACGAAGCACTTATAGTACCAAAAGCGACGGCGGAAAAGAAGATTTTAGGATATTTTCGCTAGCTAATTTGCTTACCAAATGTGAACATCGCTTTATATGTTGTTGTACAACTGAGACTTGCTTATTACTCCAGGTAAGTTAAATTTAGACGTTATTAGTGATCAAATATTAAAGTATATCTCTGTAATTCTGATAGACGTATTTACGTGTTTCAAACTACCGACTCAGAAGCTATGGGTCGACGGACTCGACAACTTTAAAGGATATATTCGGCAGTGATTTGAAAATGAAAATGTTAGGTATTGCTAACATGCAATGCCTAACACTCACTTAGTACACACGATACTAGATGTGGGCAACTCCAACCACAAGGAAATTTTTTATATCTTCAGTTTTAACTGTTACTGGTGCAACAATACAGAATATAATGGAAAAAAACTGTAAGTCAAATCAGCTTTAGTGCGACGCTTCAGAACGGTTAAAAACATCAGAAGACGTGACTTGCTTTTCGATTACCTTGCAGCTCAAAACAGACGGACTGTGCAAACATCAGCTAAGAGGAACAAGCGAAGGATGGGGAACCTATCAGTTAAATTGACGATGCCAAATGCATGCAACCGTCTCGTCTAAAATTCTCTAATTTGTCACCGAGTTATATATTATAGCGCTTCAGACAATATGCTTCAACAACAAGCCAGCATCGAGGATTCGTACGACTATCTATTTAAAATCGTTTTAATCGGGGATTCTGGAGTAGGGAAATCGAACTTGTTATCCCGATACACCAAGAATGAATTTCATCTCGGTTCAAAGGCAACTATCGGCGTAGAACTGGCCCAAAAGACCATCGAAGTGGAAGACAAGAACATTCGAGCACAGATTTGGGACACTGCAGGCAAGTTATACATATCATTATATCAATTACGTTAGAAATAACCTGGAATTTCTTTTGTCTTTTTGAACAAAGGCATCGTGCTCGAGGTCTTTCGAAAAGACAAAAACGTATCGTGAAATATCTCAAATCCCTCAAGTTCTTAGCGAAAAATAAGACGTAGCTTAGTTTATGTAACTTATTGATAAAAATATAAAACATATTGATCTAATTAGCCCTCTCAAAGCTGCTCAATTCATAAGCCATACCAAAAAAAAAAACCGATTCTCTTATTAGCCTTTAGCAAATGGCTGCATAAAAACCATTTTTGTCACGAAAATTAAACTTCACCTAAGCCAAACAAAAAGGAGGACATATTTTATTCACGTATCAATGGCTAAACAATCCAAGTTTAATTTAATTACTTTTCTTTTGTAACGGATTAGTATTAACAGAGACGCATTTAAGCACTTTTGACTACCGATTGTTTAACCCTAGGACATCGAAGAATGACTAACATCTAAATTCTCCCGACTATAGCGCTTCTGAATCAAATATTAGGATCACAAGAATAAAGGATTTGATCTTCAGGTAAAGAAGCTCGTAATATTTCAACAAATTCCCCTTATTCGCACCTTAGGAAATTTAAAAGAAAAAACAGTATTGAGAATATGTATACTGCTGTTAGGGTTCAAAGTGCTACAGCAAATAGCTCGAATGGGTTCCTGCTGATATTGAATATTTTTAGTCTTATTCCCTGTTTACAATATCAGTGGTTTCTGTATCGATCAGCTTTAACCTTTTTACGTAAACAGTTAATTATTTTGCTGAGACTCTGATCCGAAAATAGAAGAAAATTCTCGTCAAAATGGCGTACATTGTCACAGCCAGTGAGAACGAAACGCTTCAACAAAACAAACGATCGAGTACAAAGGAACTGATCGAAAGGAAAGGAAAGGAAAGACCACAAGTCCATCATTTTCGAATTTAGCGACTTTTGATGCCAAAACTACGCTTTTCTCATATTATATCGGTATGCATATCAAATGAATCTATAACATGGCAGTTCAACCACGTGAGGAGCAATTCTGGACGGAAGTCATCATACCTGTGATTGCAAATAAAAACCAATAAAAACTCACGGGAGTTCAAGTATAAAACCACGCTTTTAATTTCAGATCGAATTACACTCAACATAGTTCACTTACTATTGATGATTATTAATTAAAACGTGGGGTTAAGTCAACAGTTATATTAATATATTGATCTTCTTTCCGCTGCTTCAGCCGTGCTGAAATGATACATCTGTGCTTTTGACTAGGACCGAGTAACATGAGAATTTTTGTTTACCAATTTTTATGGATTGGCAAATTTATGTGTTCTGCGCCGGAACAAACCATTTTTCTTTTTTTTAAGAAAAGAACATAAACAACGCAAAAGAGAAAAACGAGCCGTAATATTTTCAAGTTTTTCGAGTTATACTGAATTAATAGGTACACAGGATAGAAGGATATTTCGTGTGAGTCTCAATACGGGAAAAGCAAACTAACCGAAGGAAGTGAATTTTTGCGGCATTTTATTCTGGCGGGACATATCGCTTTTTTGAGGGAAACTTAATTTTGCGAATTGAGGATTATCCGCAAAATCCGACTGCGTAAATAAGAAACCGCAAAGTTTTCATGTAGCACTTTAAGTAAAATGAGAGATTAGTTCTGATACTAGCCGCCCTTTAATAGCTTATTGTGATGCTTGAACTGGGTCGGTAGTGCAGTATTGTTTGAATTCATGTGTATGATTACAATTCGAACGAATGCGAAGCGCACGTTCGATTTCAGACCCTAATTGCACGACACGAGGTTTACATACCACCCCTCCTGCTGAATCCATTAAAAAAAAAAAAGCACCATTAAGTCAACTAAATATACGAGATCACTAGGCAAATTTGTTTTAAACAATAGTAGCTGCAAATTAGAAAGTCTAGAAAATCATTTTTTTTAAGATTAAAGCGAAGACATTTTTCGGGAATCAAAATGTCACCATTTTCAGGTGTTGTAAATCTGCTGTCAAATTTTTCCCAACGCGAGTGAAAAATGCGCGAAATCAGCTTATTCTAAATTTCTTAAAGAAATTAATTAATTAATTTTTGATAATGAACATGTTTACGTTGAAAGAAGCCAATTAGATTTCAAAGATAAAAAAACTGCCTCAAGCGCGTGAAAACCCTGGGGACCAAGTTGCGTTTCAGTCTTGCGCATGATTGGTTAAGATCTTGACCAATCACAGCACGTAGTAAAGGGAATCCAATGCAGTCCCGGATCAAAATTGTTTCAGTGCAAAATGCTGCTTATTAACCTTGAATTTGTTCTTTTCAGGCCAAGAACGATACCGAGCCATCACAAGCGCTTACTACCGTGGAGCCATGGGTGCCATTCTGGTTTATGACATCGCTAAGGTAACCTCATTCCAGAGCCTCGACAAATGGATTTCGGAATTGAAAGAACACACTGAACCAGACTTGTGTGTCATCATAGTCGGCAACAAATGCGACCTGAAACATCTACGAATAGTAGAAACGAAACGAGGCCACCAATATGCACTCGACCAAGAGATGCTCTTTATGGAAACCTCCGCACTAGATTCGACAAACGTCAATGAAGCGTTCGAGGAGCTTGTTCAGCATATATACGACGGGGTGAAGAAGAAGGAAAAAGAGCGGACTTCCTCAAGAACTGTTCTTCCTCTTCAGCCGGATCAGTTAGATTTTGTTCAAAATGGAAAAAATGGAATGGTTAATGTAGGAAAGGCTACTACGGAGAGTCACACGGCTAAAAAGAGAAGCAACAAGCTTCCATGTTGTTCTACATAGAGCAATGAATCACTGATTTAAGTTTTCGTCTTCGCTGAAATTTAGCAATGTATTATTAAACCAAAGGTGGTTGAAAAAATATATATATCTTCAAGAAGCGATATCAGACAAGAGAAACGCCGTGTTAATTTGAGAAATTCTTCTACGAAATCTTGGTAAAGTCGAGCAAACGTTTGAAGGCGAACTCGTCTTGGGGACGATGTTGAAAAAAAAAAGAAAAAGTGATGGCTTAAAATGAAGAAGGTTAACACGGATTATATATTACCAAATTGTAAATTTAGGTGAAATATTTTCATAATGCATTTATTCGCCTTAAAAGCGACTATTTGCCATATATTCCATTACATGAATTATTATAACAGTTTTACAGCATAAGATCGCAACTGAACACTGACTAAGTACGTCTGAGACTCTATCAGTAAGTTATTATTCTGCATTGTTTCAAATCATGGGAGTGTAATAACATTTTACATTAACCTCAGTGTAATTGGTCAGCGGTCATAGATACGCGTTGGCTTTATTTGAAGAAGGAGTACATCAACTCTTCCTAAAACGAGGAACTTGGCTAGACATTTCCAAGACGCAAACGCCAGTTGAAGAGTCATTGTTTGTTTTTGATAGTGATTTCCGTCAACAGATTTCTGGTCTAGCTTTTTAGGTTAAAACTCTGAAATAAGGTTCTTCAATTGTTCTTCAAGTAATTACATTGGCTCTTCGGCCGTTTGTTTCTCGAAAATGTCTGTGTTTGGCGTGGTTCTCTACTATATTCATAATGGAAGCGGTGGTATTTCTTTCGTGTCACATTAAGGAAAAAATAAATGAAACAAAAAGCAGTTGCACTAGAAACCATTTTATCAGTTATACAGTTTTTGGACTGTAAATCCTTAAAAAAAAAAAAAGTAAAGAAAATAAAAAGCTTTACTGTAATCAGAATGACATGTGAAGGAAGTTAACTCACGATCTTTTGAGTCCTTCAGTTTTAACCAGCACAGAGAATTACCTTTGATTAGAATAAACCCGGCCGACTTGAAATAATCGTTTGCTTAGGACAAACAGAAAAGAGAAACGATAAATCAAAAGGTAAAACGCGGCTAATGAAAGACGCTGAATAATAATACAGATCGCCAGGGATGATCTTGAAAAATGAAGGCGAGTATTTTTTTTTTTTTTGAGGAAAAACTACAACCTAACTACTTAGAAGAGGCATTGAAGCTCAAAAGAAGTCTAATGAATTGCATGCTTTAAGATATCTGCTTCATCGAATGGAAACCAATCACATCTATGGACCGGTAATTATTTATCGGTGGGGGCTCGGAGGAGTTTGGTTTGTCACTCTGTCACGAGATTACTGTGTGATGGATGTCCTCCCCTGGGGTGGGATGGGTGGGTTACTGGGCCCGCAGAAACTGGCGCAAAGCTGTTGCGGTGTCCCTGCCTGTCGGCAAATTTAATAAATCAAATCAAATCAAATTTACATGACCCCCCAAACTTAAAGGCTCTGTGGAAATCTAATGATCGCCCCCCCCCCCTCCCCTCCTCTGCATTGACAATCATGAAACTAAAGAAACACTCATTTTTCTACAGTTCCCCTTCACTGACTCTGTTAATAGTGACAACTGATCTCCCCTTCCCTTCCGTTTCGTTAAACACCATGTGGTCCATTATATGGACGTACTGTTTTTTCATATCACGCTAAGCCATTATGGTAAATTGTGCACTGACCACTTACCAATGTTGTCACTGACCGTTCGATTAAACTGAAGATAACTTTCGTCGTCTATTATCCAGTTTTAGATTCAAGTAGAGGTTTACGACTTTAAATCCTCCGGTCGTTCTGACTAAATATCCAATTATCAAGGTAAGTTTTGTTTCTCAATATTTGTTTCATAACTCTGTGGCTCGAAAAGCAACCAAATGACATGTTATATCTACTTTTTTCAAAATCTTCGCCAATCCAACAATACAGTCGCCCAATCATCAGAGGGTGACAGTTCGCCATTCATCTTTTCACTTGACTTATTTCATCGTCAGCCATTTGACAATTATATCAATCTACACCTGCACTTTTCTTTTCTGCTGTAAATAGTGTATGGCTGTTGAAGTCCTGAATGTAATAACTTTCCTAAATGTAATAACATTTGCCCCTAAATGTAATAAAGTCCTAAATGTAATAACGTTTGCTCCTAAATGTAATAAGCCTCCAATGCAATCGTTTGACTGCGCTAGTGCATGGTTGTTATAACGGACATCCACATTGAAGTGTTGAAGTGATAGCTGTTGCCCTAAAAAAATCCTCTGACCAGTATTCATGTCACATTGTGGGCTCGCTGATATCAATCAACATCTTTTTACTTGCTAGACTCAAGTCGAGTAGCATTGGCTGCAGACCGTTATACTGACGGCATCAAATGACAGCTGGCAAAACTATGAGTACGCTGACCAGTACCTCCATATATCATTGGCTCAGACTCTTGAGTTCAAGTTTTGGAAAAAAGTGATAAAGTTGTACTTGTATGAGTCAAAGTCATAAGTCATTAAGTCATAAGGTCATTAACCAAATTACAAACTTGGACAAGGGAGTCTGCAGACTTATCCATGAATAGGTCGGATAATTTGCAGGCTCGGATATACATTTTTTGTCTTTCCTTTCTTGACCAGACCTTGTTAGCATGCACATTTTGTTTCCCAATTCGGACCTTGTGGCAGCTCTCTAAAGAGTTATTGTTTCAAATTCTCGAGACAAGATTATTTTTCTCTCTAAGAGAACAGAACTGGGGACAAGTATATTCTCTTGATCTTGAAATGTATGCAACAAATCTGACAAACAAACTGCATGGATCTACATTAAATTATATACTCAGTAACTTACATTTAACAGGTGTAGATGAAAAGAAGCTGTTTACCAACACATTAAAAATGGTTATTTATGCTAAAGGCTGTAAATGATGTCCCGTTCCCCAGAGACTCAAGCAAAAATTGGTGCTCTTGCTTTCTCTGAGGGGTGAGTAAAACTATTCGTGTAAGCCGTTTTTTAATGGTCTACTAATTGATTCAAAGAAAAGAAAATGGGGGAAAGAATAGGAAACTCTGAGGGACAACCTTTTTGGGAGTAAGTCGAGCTAAAACCATGAGGAAGGAAATTGTAGCGTACTTAGAAAGTAATCTGTGCGATAGCGATGGCCACCCTCTTTTGGAGCATTTGCCAGTTGACGAGTTGGCTCGCTGGGACGACTATTTAACTCATGTGGCGCGAGATGGGACCTTTGGGGATCAGATAACAATGTATGCAGAAGCAAACTTGTACGATATTGACATCCAAATAGTGCTCTCTCTAGGAGTTGGTGGTTAGCATGTGTTCAGTCCGTAAGTGAGTGTTTCAGCAGCTACCATGTGCGTTGGACATTTTGCTAAGAACCATGGAGAAATACGTGAGCTTGGAACAAGTTACGGATCACAACGAAGGTAGTGAAGAAGACTACGAAGCAAATGACCCAGGAGAAGGAGAAATTTCCGAGGATTATGCAAATAAAATGCATATAGAGCAGGATTTTGGAATGAGTGATACCGTTGATTACCAGGATGACACCTACGCCAAAAGTGGAACTGATAGTATCGTCGACGGACGACGGTGGTGGTGACACGGATATGACTGCAGATATAGCTAAGGGATTACACATGGTAACCGAACGAACGAAACAGAGCTTGAATTGCAGATCAAGTCGACAAAGGCATAGTCAATGATGGTGATAAGCTAATAGATGATCCGGCAGTTTGTTTCAGACGTAGAGGTTGTTCTGTAAAAGAAAAGCGGCAAGGAGAAGGACGCAACAGAATAGGAAATCAACCATGCGAACGACTCAGAATCCGTTTTGCACGACAAAACCTAGCGTATGTGCATGCGGGATTCAGCTCTGTCTTCTGGTTGTACAGCATAACTGCACAACAACTGAAACCAGCGGTCAAACGTTGGGCATGCGCGAGGGATCAATCTGGCCAGCTGCGCACAAAATTTTAAACGAAAACATCACGAATCAGCAGCTGTTGCAAAATAAGTAAAAGAAAATTGAAACGTTCATAGAAATATGTAAAGGAAATTAAAAGTAGGGAAAAGAAAAACTGGAGACTTTTCAAACGCAAAGCTTATTCAGGTTCTATACCATTCTGTTTTGAGCTTAACTAAATACGCCTCCGTGCTCCTAAAACACAATGACTTAATCGCTTGTGTGGTTGTTTGTAACTTTTGGATTCCTGCCTCAGTCCATCTTGGAATCTATTTATTTCAATTCAATTATTCCTCGTGTTGTATATAATATTGTTGTTTGGGGCTCTGCTTCCCCATCACTTACGGAGGATATTGAACGTATTCATATGAGAGCAAATTAGGATTGTTTGCAAGCTACCTATGACCACTCCAGCTGATGAGATCAAGAAATTGAGGCAATGGAATCCCATTTCTTTGTATTATGTTAAAAGACTGCTGGTTCTGACCTATCAATCCTATCATAGCTTAAATACGGAGGATCTAAATATTTTAATTTCTAAGGCAAAAACAAATTACAGCTGAAGAAATTCTCTAAATTTAGAAGTGCCAAGACCAAGATCTGAAATTGGCAGGTCTTCTTTTAAACACAGAGCCGCCTGGGTATGGAATCTTTTTCCCCATCATGTCAAGAAATGTGCTAACTTAAGTTTGTTTAAGACTAAGCTTAAGGCTAACAAGCATCTTCTCAATAGCATATATTTTGCCAAAGGTTCCTGCTGTGTTTCAATGAAACACGATGACTTTCTGTATTTTTAATTAAAAATTTAATATTGTTTTGTATTTACCTTATCTAATTAGAATTGTATTTAAGAAGTAATTTCACTCTGTTTTTCCAATTTTAAATATATTTTAGTGTGATTGTATCTAATTTGTAATTAGGCAGGTCCACATCAGGACTTCGGTCTTGCCAATCTTTCTAACCTGCATTGTTAAATAAAGATGTATGTATGTATGTATGAAGTCGCAAAAGCGACAGTCAAAAGAAAGACAAAATCAAACGAGCCTCTTAGTTTTATTGTGCTTCAAACACAGCGGGCTCACTTTCTCGACTTTGAAAATATACAAGTCAATCCTGATTCTTATTAAAGCGAAATCTTTTTGCTTTATAATAAATCCTTCATTGACTAAGCCAAAAGCAAAATCTATCTTAACTCGAAGTCGTTTACCGTCGTTTCTTTCAATTTTGGCTAATTTTCTCACCCTGAAATTATCATTCACACTCAATAGAATATAATTTCAACTGATACTGACTTCATACACTACATCTGAGGAAGAATACATTCCCTATCCTTCAAAAAAATCCGTTAACAAAATCAGGAACATCGATGACGTTCTTCAGCTTCTTGAAAATACCGCTGACTGACATGCGTGTTGATCGTTTTGCAAGTTGTGAGAACATCGTCCCTGGGCTCTAGACCCCGCCAATTTTCCCTTCCCCCTTCCCCACTCGCACCGGTTCTAAATTTCCTTGAATAACCTCTTCGACAGGCAGCATCAAGGATTTTTAATATGATGAAGGCTGGAAAATAAACTATCTGGAACTCTGCTTTTAGGCTTGCCTAAATCTATATATTGACGATACTGATTTATCATTTGAAGCGTAGTTTCAACTCTTCCCATCGGGAATTACCTAAAGATTTAAAATATGTCAGTTTAGCGGACGGTGCTTATTTACCCCGATGATGACCTAGTGTCGAAAACGTTTTTGTTTTTTTATTTTTTAAGTAAATTTTTGGTTTATAAATAGCTCATTTTAAAACCTACGCTAAGATTGAAAGGTTTTAAAATAATTTTTTCTTTGAATTTGAGTCCGTTTGTTCTCAAAGCTATATTTCAGAGTATCCGGTGGGAATAGATGAATTGCCAGTAACTAGATCCCCCTATAATGCGCAAAGGAACGCCACGGGGCAAACACTGCTAGTTGCTACAAAGAAATATATATACATATATATATGTACTGCGGGAATTTTCAAAAGCCTTCAGCTTCCAATATTGTTGCGTCATCACTTTCGACTTCTTCCAACATTAAAAAATATTTGAAAATACAAATTAAGTTACGCTGGTGGTTAAAAGCGTTTCTGAAATTAGTTTCGGTCGCAATCACGGACGCAATCGGTCGCAATCACGGACCTTCTTCAGGGGAAGTGAAAGAAAAAAATTCTGTGTAAAAGCGCAGATATAAGCAAGACGCGTAATAAAATTCAAGGTACGTGTCACTTTTTCTTGTCAAGTGTAAATACTCCTCGGGGAGTAACGCCCCGTCGTCTCGGTCCAGTGGGTCTTTGTCAAACTTGTCCTAGTGAAGACAATTCAATTTCCCAGGCCTCGAGAATCTTTCTTTGGTGCCAGTTATTGTTAGTCCTGAGGCCTCATCATCCCACGCGATATCGTGATTTGTTTTTATTAATATTACGTGGTCAGCAAGTGCAGATCTTTCGCCTTGTCGCCGCGCGACAGCCTTTTAGTGCTCGCCTTTTCTTGTTATGAATTTTCTCTGCGTTTCGCCAACGTAACTCTTGCTGCAATCAGCGCAAGGAATGTCGTAAACGGGGTCACGGGTTTCTTCTTTGTCCATTTGGTCTCTCGGTTTTGGAAACATCTGGCTTATTGTCTTATAGGGTTTAAATGTCACTTTAATGCCGTGGTTTTTCAGAACTCTCTTCATTGGCTCAGAGGTCCCGCTAACGTATGGAATTGCACTGTGCCCCCGTGCAGATTGTGCAACGGTGGTTGTCTTTCAACGGTGGTGTAGTGGATGGCACACCTCATCCTGGACATTGTACACAGGCTTATCTTGATTCGTTCATGTTAACCGCAAATGTGAAGTTACAATAGTTCATTGATCTCGGTTAGAAACGTGCTTTCACGTAGCCCCGTCGAAACGCATTCAGTCAGTTGGCTTTTGGTTAGGCAAGTGACAAGTCAAGTTTTAGCAGCATAACTTGCCTCTACTTTGGAGTCGTCTCCGGTCAAGTACTACAAGCGGGACTGTTATGTAAGTTTTTAACCTTCTTCTTCAAACCTTTAATCTACTCGTCAGTTTCTCTAGTTTTCTCGAACAAAGCGATTTCATATATCGCTCTTCGTTTGTAAGTTTGCCAAGTGTCTCAAGTTTACGTTTCGCCTTGCCTACCCTAGTTTTTGGTATTTATCACATTGTTTTGAAGCTTAGCGTGCTAGATAGCCTCGACTGGCTCTTCTGGACTAGAGTATTGTCCATTTTTGTAATTTACGCCAGTTCAGGCTCTGTTTAGTCTCCCTCGCAGCGGTTTTTTTGGATGTCACGCAACGCTCCCCTTGGGGGAGCGTTGCGTGACATCCAAAAAAAACGGCTGCGAGGGAGACTAGGTTCTGTTAGACATCGGGACACTTACAATGCACAAATTGTCTCGTCTTAATTCACTTTGGATTTCCCTTATATGGCTGTACTATGTTAGAATCGAATCCTTTTATTTACCTTAATTGTTTTAGTTTAGTTTTACCCAAATTTAGAATCTTATCGTGATGGAATGATTGGAATGTTACATGTTAGTCTCAATGCATGAAATTAGCTTAGTTTTTCTGTGCTTGTATTTGTTTCAGTTTACGATATGACCTCGAATCTTCGGTCGAATAAATTAATTTGATTCAAGCGTTTCTGTCCATAAAATATATCAAATATATCCTTAGCAAGTAAGTCGTTGTATCGCTTTGGGTTCGATCGCTACAGGTGGTTTAGGTACAGTTCAAACGTTGAATTTCACATGTGCCGAACTTAACTCCCATTTTATTCGACTAAAATAGTTAAATACGGTATTTAATTCAAACGTCGAATTTAACTCTGTTCGCTGTCGATATTCTCAGGCGCACTACTCATTTGCTAGACGAAGACGTCTATTGAGCGTTTCCTCAATTGCTTCACTGATGCTCTTGTTTTGCTGTTTTGTTTGCTTCTTTATCTTGGCTTTTCGTCATGATACTTTCACTTGAATCCCGTTCCATCATTTCATTGAAACACGACCCACAATATGCCACAGAATTTCCTACTTTCCACGCAGGACTGCCCTCTTCGTTTTCAAAAACCGAACACCTCATACAAAAGTAATTACCGCACGTCAAACAACTGTATTTTGTCTTTTCAAAACAAGAACTACGAATTCCTTCGTCTCTCACCATTTTTTGGTGCTGTTTTGGCTTTTTCGCGCATGACATTCATAGAATTTTTGGCGAGTCGTGGGTAATAAATGAATTATAATAATTTCCTGTAATTCATGCATTAAGTTCGGCATATGTGAGATGCGACGTTTGAATCAAAAGTCGAACGTAAGTCGAATCTTCGACTGTTTCACTCGCAGATACGGCAAAAGTCGCATTTAATTTAAAACAGTCGAATTTGATTGATTCAAACGTCGCACTTCACATGAATTTAACTCTCGCATTAAGTTCGGCACATACGGTGAAATTCGACGTTTGAACTGGGCTTTAGGCTTGCTGGCACGCAAGCAAATTCGTAAACTCAACAACGAAAAAGACAGGCAAACGGAATTCTTGCGCGCCAACATGGAACCTGACGATCTGAAACAGACCGAAGCATTATTCAAAGATTTACAACAAATAGAACATTTGCGAATGAAGACGGCACACACGAAGAAATTGGAAGCACTGGAGGCAAAATCAAACCGACCATCTGCTAAAAACACCGTAGACTGCTTTGCAAAAGGGAATGAACTTCGCTATTGCGCCAAAGAAAATTCCCATTGCAGAGTTCGGGGCTGTTGTGGAATGCAGAATAACTGAACTCTCGACTGAGGAAAAAGTTACAGTGAGAGTACAAGTTTCAGAAGTCCTTAGCAGAGCCCGCCCACCGCCATCAAATATTCCGTGGAAGGAAATGAGAGCCTTACAAGATCTCCGAAAGGACGAATCGAGACTCATCATATCGGCGGACAAAGGCAACTGCACAGTTGTCATGGACCACAAAGATTATGATGATAAAGTAAAAGAACTTCTCGGTCTTTAAGAAAGATCCAACCAAAAAGACGGAAAGAGATATGAACGGCATATTGCTCAAAATGAAACGGGAGGGGACGATCGGGAAAAAACTCTACAGACACCTCCACAGCTCGGATGGTCTATCTCTTCGACTCCATGGTTTGCCCAAAATTCACAAGAACGGAAATCCGTTACGACCCATCGTTTCGTTCATATCGTCCCCCACGTACAATCTTTCCGAGAATATGGCTAAGATCTTAAAACCCTTGACTGGTATTCCGCCTCTACCGTCAAGAACAGCCGACTGAGTTCTGCAGAAGCATTGCTGATATCAATCTTCAGGATGACGACGAGCTTGTCTCCTTCGACGTCATCTCTTTGTTTACGTCGATTCCGGTAGATGCAGCTGTTAATGTTGCTCACAATCGACTGGTCAATGACGAAAATCTACAAGAAAAGACGGCCCTACCGGTCACTGACATTATCGAATTACTTAACTTCTGCCTGTCAACCACCAACTTTCGATACGACCACAAGCATTATAAGCAGATCCATGGGACAGCTATGGGCTCACCCGTTTCCGCCGTAATGGCAAATATGGTCATGGAAGACCTTGAAGAAAGAGCATTAACTACTCTTATCAATCAACCTCTGTTTTGGAAAAGATTTGTGGACGACATGAGTACAACCATGAAACCTGATAGTACTCAGACTTTTCTCGAACATTTGAACTCAATTGAGCCCTGCATTAAGTTCACGATTGAACGCGAAAGCGAAGGGAAAATTGCCTTCCTTGACTCCATGGTTCACCACCAGGAAGACGGAAGATTAACCACCACCGGAAACCTACCCACACTGATCGCTATCAGTCTTTTCCATCGCACCATCCCAGTATGCATAAGCGAACTGTGGTTAAGTCATTGATGGATCGGGCCGAAAAAATCCCCACTACAATATCCGACCGAATGAAGGAAAAACGAGTAATATCGACATTGCAGTCCAATGGATACCCCAAACGTTTCATCTTGGGTGCCAGCAAGCCTAAACCACCGTTGAAAGACACAACCACCGTTGCACAATCTGCACGGGGGCACAGTACAATCCCATACGTTAGCGGGACCTCTGAGCCAATGAAGAGAGTTCTGAAAAACCACGGCATTAAAGTGACATTTAAATCCTATCAGACAATAAGCCAGATGTTTCCAAAACCAAAAGACCAAATGGACAAAGGAGAAACCCGTGACCCCGTTTACGACATTCCTTGCGTTGATTGCAGCAAGAGTTACGTTGGCGAAACGTAGAGAAAATTCATAACAAGGAAAGGCGAGCACCAAAATGCTGTCGCGCGGCGACAAGGCGTAAGATCTGCACTTGCTGACCACGTTATAAAACAGATCACGATATCGCATGGGATGAGGCCATAATTCTCAGGACTAACAATAAGTGACACCAAAGAAAGATTCTCGAGGCCTGGGAGACTAACTGCGCCAAAGGCCCACTCAACCGAGATGACGGGGCGTTACTCCCCAAGGAGTATTTACACTTGACTCTCGTTAACAAGAAAAAGTGACACGTATCTTGAATTTTAATCAACGTCTTTCTTATATCTGCGCTTTTGCATAGAATTTTTTCTTTCCCTTCCCCTGAAGAAGGTTCGTGACTGCGACCGAAACGTCGAGAACATTTTTATTGTTACTAATTTCAGAAACGCTTTTAAGCACCAGTGTAACTTAATAGTATTTTAAAATATTTGAATGTACCCACCTGGTGACAAACCCAGTTTTAATTCTTCCAACATGATGTCCACCACAGCTTGCGGTATATTTAGGAAGACGCTGAGGAGAAATTAAAATACAATGTCCTATACATTGAGAAGAAAATGCAAAGAATACGCCTTTATCTGCTGTCAATAAACGAGTTTTGTCTGTGAATATAGGCAATGTTAAGATTTATGTAAATTCTGTTTGGTATGGATGGGCCGATACCGATACCGAATATTCGATACCAACGATACCGTGGTCAGATTGGAAAATATCGATACTAGCGAAAAGTATCGGTGGTTTCGATACTGCACGTAACCTGCCCGCGTTTTGTCTCAGACCTGCGACCAACCGCTGACAAGGAGTCGAAAAGACTTCGGGCGCGAGATTGGGCAATGAGCACCACAGTGTATCAGTCTAAGTATCAGTCAAAGTATTGGCGTCTGAGCGCTGCAGGAGTGAAATCACTGACGACCACGAGTTTCAACTAAAGCACGTCCTTAATCCGGTTTTAGATGTTTGACTGTCTCATTGACGCTTCTATAGTATGTTCTATAAATTACTGAACACTGCAAAACTTTAACAGTGCAAGATAACCCTATATTTCGTCAAACAGATCACGTGACATACCATTTACGCAATGACGACACAGTATTGGTATCAGGGGATATCGAAGAAAAACGCCAGTATCGTACTCAGTATCGTATCGATTCGAAAAAACCGCATCGGCCCATCCTTACCGTTTGGAAACAGTCTCCGCTTCAGTTCTTTCATAAGTCATAGATTGTTCCCAGTCTGAATGGGTAAACAGCACTAGAGGTGATATCAAATTAATTAAATCGTTCGTTTACAAGTGCTACAATGCTTCCACAAATTCGGATTTGTCCTTTCATAAATTCCTTTAGGATCCCAAGAATGTTTAGTTTTCATGCTACAATTCTTCAACAACAAGTCGCAGGTTTATGTGTTTTTAAATCTGTATGAGCAAATGGTCAGACAAATAATTTCGTCTCGTGCGTCTCGTTTCCATTTCTAAATGTAAGACTTAAGAGCCACTGAGCATAAATATCGAGAAGCGAGGGGCCGTAAGGGAATTTTCTGTGAAACGTGATCGGCTGTTTTCATCGTGATAAGAAATGTGATCGGCTGGGACTCGTGATTTTAAAAAGTCAAAAGCTGTGAACTGTGAACGATATTCAAGTCGCGAAATCTCTTGACCAAGCCTGTTCGGTCGAGATGGCCGGATTGGTCAGCGTTCTATCGTTTTGAGATCTGTCAATTTGATACGAAAAGCACATCAGTATGAAGCTTTGTAGCCGATGCTTCTCGGCCTACGTCTCTAGCAAAAAAAGGACGCTGATTAAAATCAACGAGCGAGCCCGCAATACGCCATGAATTTTGGTTAGAGGATTATCTCAATGCGGATGCACAAGCGCAGTTAATCTATTACATTGGAGGCTTATTACATCTTGGACCAAATGTTATTACATTTACTCGAAAAACTTGTCAATCAAAATACCAATGTTGCGGTGGACGTATACACAGCTGCCTACCATACATACAAGATTTAGGAAAATCGGGATATATATATATATATATATATATAACTAACTGCAGACAGTACTGTTTCGGCCTTCTGGGCCTCATCAGTGCAGTGCTAATGCTAGGATGGGGGAGAACCGAGACGGTCACCCCAAACGACCCAACCTTTGTGGTATCGTCTAAGCCATGCCAGAGTGCTCAAACTAGAGTAAACCAGCGAGCATGCGCAATTGCAACGGCAATGACTCATCCTTGATAGAGTGCTCAATTTGGACATGAAAGCAAAGCTTTGTATGCCAAAGAGCTATATATATATTTATATATTAAAAAAAAAAAGCATTCCATTATTTTGCAATCTTTTTCAGGCGAGACCGCCAGCAGATTACCTTGTTCGTTGGTAGGTTGTGATTTCTGGTGTTTTTAAAGCTGAAGTTTGCGAAGCTTAGTGCTTCTTTTAAGTTCAATGTTGATTTTACAGGGATCGGATGGTGCTTCTTGCAGCCAGATTCATAAGCGAGCAGCCCACAATACGGGATTTGCTGGAAAATGCTAAAATTATTTTCATTTTGAGCTTAGCGAAAGTAAGTCTTTAAAACACAAAATATCTCATAATTTTGTGACAACAATGTTTTACATCGACATGCTGGATTTTTTTTTTAAATAAAAGACACACCTGTCTAATTTTAAAATCACGAATTTACTGGTCTTTACTTCCGTAGGTTCGCAGACACAGAGCGCCAATCCGGGCGAAAAAAAAGACGGAAACAGTGGAAAGAAGAACAAGCCTGCAACAAACTAATTTAATTTGGGCGAGTGTAAATTGAAAGAAAGATAACGAAGAAATTTTGAGATTAAAAGCGTATAAGGTGAAGCTATGTTTTTTATAGTTGGTCAGTGAGTTTTATTTCATTTGGTGGCTCTAAAGGAGCCGTTTTGTGATTTTTTGTATGAACTCCACCTTGATCAGCTATTTTCGTCGGAACTGGAACCGATTCAGGAAAGACCGATTTTTTTCTGTAAGGAAAAAATAACATACGAATTACATTAAGAAACCATAAGTATTGCAGTACCTTAAACGAGGTAACTACTATGAAACGAAATCGGAGACGTTGCAATAAACAAAGAGCAACAGCCTACCTTCCTCTTTTTGTTCTTGGTGACTCCTTTCTCCGATGAACGTCACAAACAAGTAGCTCAGGTTAACGGGCCACGTCTTCTTTGGTTGGCAAACAGCTGGCTTCCCGCCCCCTACTGCTGACCACTGACATCGAGGGCATTCCGAATGGTCGTTATAAAGCTTTCGTTGGTTCGCGAATAGAACTGTTATCGGTTGGTTCCTCGAGACAACACATTTCGTACTAGTGCGGAAGGCTCGCTCTGACCAGCCAACAGGTAGAATTTGGTCGAGGTCCTGAGCTGTTCAGAGGAGGCGGTATTGTATCACCTAAGTTTAGTCATGTTTACTGGAGCGTATCTAATTACTCTCTACCATTTGCCCTCGGAAATGCGTGAGTTCAGTGCAAAACTGTGAAAACAGTTGTAGACATACTGTAATTTACGCTGATACGTTTATGTTAATGCGTAAATCTGTTGCAGACGGATTTGTTTGCGAGCGAGACCTAAGCATATTTCAACGTGGATTGTTGACTGTTATTCATTCAAAGAAGAAAAGTGTCACATTCTTTATAAAATGCCGCGCGCTCGACTAAAAACAAATGTCTTAAGGTGGCTGAACAGCTTTTGATACCTTTGTTTCTTTCACCATTTTCTCTAAAACCCTTGATCTCTCGGTCGCCAAAATTGGCAGCAAGCAAGTTAACAACACAAACTTTGTTTTTTCGATAGTTAAGCTGACGTATGTTTCGTTGCCATGGCGACATGAATAGATATAGATAGACAATTAAAATCGGTTTTGTATTTTTGTAGAAAATCTAGTCATTAGATTTTCTTTGTAATTTGCATGCGGCGTGCATGTAACGATACTCGCAAGTTAACACCATTTTGCTAACAATTCAACAGAGAGATCTTTGATTATCCCTTGATGAAGGTTCACTCGATTTTCTAGAATTTCCTTTGTTTAAAATTAACTTTTTTAAAATACTCCAGTTACTTATTTCCCAGAGTATTTTTGTGCCAAATTTCGTGAAATTCTAATGTGTGGTTCTCAAGAGATAGGCATATTTCCGAGAAAGCAATTTTCCATTTAATCGCAATTTTTTACTTACTACGCATGCGCTGCATTTAACTGGTTTCTTTCGGTAACGACGAAAAAGCTGAGAATTGCTGGGTTCTTTGCACCGTTAACTTTTCTAACATATCTTTGTAATAAAAGATTAAATCCCTCTATACACTGCGCCAACTATAGAGAAAAATAGCACAGATATGCGGGTTAGTGTTAAGTAAATGAAATGACTGCTCTGTTGACAGCATGTTTGTTTTTTGCAATACTTGTGCGCGCGCTGAATTGCATCGGCAAAAGCGCGCGCGAAAACTGTGTTCAGCCACCTTAATTAAGATATGTCATAATACGCACGCCGTACGAAAACTAGGAGAAATAGCATCGTTTAACAAAGTGTTTGTTAGAATTCAGTTTAAAACTATGACAGCTTTTTGGAGAGAGATTTACATGCGCAAGACATCTTATTCTTTTAATTACCTCACTGTAATATTATGTTATTTTTAATAAAATGCCACACGCCTGATTGAAAACAAAAAGAAAGGTCATAGAACGTGTTCTCTGCGAAAAGTTTTAAAACAATATACCTTTCAAAAAACATTTTTGACTTTGGAACTATGACGCCTTTATTTATGACAGTGTCTGGAGAAAGACTCGTACGCACGGTGGATTGAAACCAAATAGCAACAATAACCAAAAAAAGAAGGGGTAGACCATTGAGAATTGACTTGACGAGAAAAATTTACGCTACCACTCCATAGCGGCTGAATCAGCGGTTAATTTTCCCCTGGGGTACTCCGGTGACAATTTACCTGTCGAGTGCAAATATACGCTACCCACTCCCGCAATGTAGCTAAATTATCATGCCTCAGTTTTTTCCGATTGGTCACAAACTTTTTCGCGTCGCTTCGGCCAAAGTCCCTCAGCGCTACATGGAACAAAAGGACTATTTACGTATGATGCACGATCCTCGCAGTAGATAGCGCTATTTATGCAAAAGTGAAAATCAGACCTGAAAAAAAATCGGGCCTGTACGGGACTCGAACCACTGACCTCTGCGATACTAGTGCAGCGCTCTACCAATTGAGCTAACAAGCCAATTGGGAGCGGGCCGTTAAGTTAATTCGTAATAAACCCGTGAAAGTGATAAATAAGATACAATGAATATGTGAAGTTCATATATTTTGAACTGCGGTATTAGATACGGACTATTGTTTAATACGTAATGTGAGAGTTGAGCCGGGTACAATAGACCATTTCTTGATACGAGGACTTTATTACATTTAGGACCAAATGTTTTACCCTTACTGACTTTATTCCATTTAGGAAAGTTATTACATTTAGGACTTCAACAACAACCTCCCCCCCCCCCGTTACCTTCTGTTCCATTAAAAACCATGTGATCTACCCAAAAATCCTCCTTCACCCTTCAGGCGATAAATAATGTTTTATTTCCGTGATCCTCAGTGTGCATACTGATCTGAGTAGATTATTAATGACATCGGTTGTCACGTTGAGACGATTAGCTATGTCGAAATAGATTTTAAAAAATAGGCCATTAACGTCAAGTCCCAGTATTATATGAACGTACTGTTTTTTTCATATCACGCTGAGCCATTATGGCAAATTGTGTGCTGAGCACTTACCGATGATTTCAGCTGGCACTGACCGTTCGATCAAACTGAAGATAACTTTCGTCGTCCATTTTCCTGCTTTAGAGTCAAGCAGAGGTTTACAGCTTCAAATCCTCCGGTCGTTCTGACTAAATGTCCAATTATCAAGGTAAGTTTTGTTTCTCATTTTTTTTTTCATGACTCTGTGGCTCGAAAAACTACCAAATGACATGTTATATCACTTTTTTCAAAATCTTCGCCAACCCAACAATACTGTCGCCTAAACATTAGAGGGTGACAGTTCGCCATTCATCTTTTCACTTGATTTATTTCATCGTTAGCCGTTTGACAACTATCTACACCTGTACTTTTCTTTTCTGCTGTAAATAGTGTATGGCCTCCTTCCTCGAATAAAAAATATCCAAAATTCGTCTCCAAACTGAATTTGTTTATAGCTTAGCGGTCCCAAGACACCGCGTTAAGTATGTGAGTTTTGTAAATTTTTATTCCGATCTTCCGACCTTAATCTCTCAAGACTTGAATAGTCGTTGCTTAACGTCAAAGGAATTTTGAACTGAATTATACTCAATACATTTTTGAATTCCAGTTTACTTTTTTTTTCGCGACATCCTCCATGGTTAACTTGTTTAGGTTAAGTTTTCTCTATGTTGATATAAATGAGGTTTTCAGGACAGTTTGTCAGTAGTATTAGAAAATAAACCACGCCACGTTAAAAGAAGAATTTAATGGGGTTTCAACTTTTGCCGTAAAGGGCTGAAAATCAACCGCTGGGTGTGAAGAAAGCCGAAAAATTTAACCTTCAACCTTAAAAAGTTTTAATTGTTAGCTTTAAAACGGCCCGAAAACTAAGCTTTTAGGCGTAAAAAGCTCACAAAATTTAACATGTTGTAAACGCAACAACCCCATTGAGACACACTTAAAAGGGTTGAAGAAAGTGCACATTTGCCTTTCGAAACGAAATTTGAAAACAGATGTATCCTCATTTTTGAAAAGGACATAACTTACATATGCAGTAAAGAAAAACCTCATGCTCCTTTTCAATTTCTCAGACGAGTTTTTTTCAATAAAATATAAAGATAAAACTAAAAGAAAGTGCATCAGAAAAGTCACACCATTGGTTTTTGGGTTTGTTCACTTGAAAAGCTGGCTGACAGATGTATAAATCTGCCATTTTGTGAATTGCAGTTGTAAGTTAAATTTATTTTTAAAACTGAAAACGTCGATGTCGAGGTCTAACGCTCGAAAATAGCGTCAGCTTTAGATTTTCTTCACGATGGTCAATTTAAATTATCATCCCAGTTGATAAAACTAAATTATCTTGTAATACCCCCACTGACGCAGTACCACAGTTTTTCATTAAAATCTTTATTTAAGAGCTCTGCGACCGTTTTGACTCATTATGTCTCCCCAAGTAAGCCGGAAATGTTACCAGTTTTGAATGGCATTAATAATGGCAATAATACGTAAAGAAGGGTGTAGAATTTTTTTTAACTTGTTCTGGAATATTACTTTTTATTTCATTTGTAACGTATTTTTCCCAGTGGTGGTAGCCTTAAATACAAAGGCTCGGATGCCTCAAAACGCAATCAGGAATGAACAGATCAGATATTATTCAAAGTCAGTATAGATCCTAGATTTACACCTGGTTGAAGAGAAAACCGAATAAAGGGTGAAAGTTTCTAAAGAAACTGTGGTGCTGCGTCGGTGGTAATTTGGTTATATCAACTAAGTTTAAATTGTAAATTGGCCACCGTAACGAGTTAAAAAGCTGACGTTTCGAGCGTTAGCCCTTCGTCAGAGTGATTGGAAGAATTATGGGTTGTGTGTGGGTTTATGTGCAGAAAGTGGAGCTACGCTATTGGTGGGAACAGGGCGACGAGAAAAACACGAATAAATTAGTAGGATGAAAAGAGTTCGTTGATACCTATGGGATTAAGAGCGCCGATTTGAAAGATAAACTTTTGTTCTAGAGTTTTGCGGCTTTCCGAGCTACCTAAATGTAAGGAAAGATCGCAGATTTCTTAGAATGATTAGGTAAATTAAAACCAGTCTAGCGACTGGTTTTGATGCATCCTGGTCATTCCTTTCTATAAGTCGCGAAGGTGTTCTCTGAATCGCCGGGTCACCTGGTCGCCTTCCTGTTTCGCCGATGTATATCTTTTTTCAATAGGTGCAAGTTATGCAATAGATGACATTGGCGGAGGTGCACGTAAAGTGATCAGTGATCTTAATGGATCGTTTGGGTCCCGATATTTTCTTAGCGTAGTGAATGAAAGGACAAGTTTTGCATCGTGCGCGAGCGCGTTTATTAAAAAGTGCCGGGTTGGTCATTAGTTTGAAATGAATGTCTGACCAAAAAGTTGCCAATGTTTTTGTCGCGTTTGAATGAAGTGAGTGAAGGTTGTGAAAAGATAGTACCAGTCTCTGGATCATTTTGAAGTAATTTAAAGTTTTTTAAAATAATGAATTTAACTGAGTGGTTGTGAGGGTGAAACGTGAGAGTGAATATTCCCTTTTTTAAATTAATAATTTTAAATTAGTTTAAGTTTTAAGTGTATACAGACTAGAATGTTTTGCTATTTCGTAAATTTATGATTTTAAATATCAAATAGGTTTAATTAAGTTGATGAGTATAATGTATTTAGTTAGTGACAGATGAAGAACCACTCTGTGGATACACTGTTAATAAGCCCTTTACTTACTTACTTACTTACTTACTTACTTACCTTTTCTCAGTTTCTAAGACTTCGTCGTTTATGTTGTGATGACTCTGATTTTTTCCACAAATCAGAGTCAAAGTGCCAGTTTTTCGAAAAAACGTGGTTACCCTGTTTCTTTTGTTCAAGCGGGTCACCAGCGCGCCCAACTTATTGATCGACAGTCAGCACTACAAACGTCACTGGAGGAACATTTGGACCGCATTCCATTCACTAAGCTTAGAACAAAGCCTAGCACTAAAAACGCTTTTCATTCTACTAATTTATTCGTGTTTTTCTCGTCGCCATGTTCTTACCAATAGCGTAGCTCCACTTTCTGCATATAAACCCATACACAATCCACAATTCCTCCATTCACTCTGACGAAGGGCTAACGCTCGAAACGTCAGCTTTGTAACTCGTTACAGTGGCTAATTAACAATTTCAACTTAGTTGATACGAAAAGAAAACCGTTTGTCGGGGGAAAAACGATAGCTGTATATGATAGAACACCCACAAGAAAAAGGGAAAAGGGCCATCGGGAGTTTATAGAATCAAGGTTTATGCTCTCACGAAACAACCTTTTATTAATTACTATTCCATGCAAATTTTCCTGGTTAAGATCTTTTCCACTTATACCAATGCAGACGGTCAGTTCTCAACTACTGGGGCATCGTCCATGTGTTTGTGATTTTCAGGTGACTCTTTTTCAATCAGCTGTTGAGTAACACCATTCTAGATTTTTGACTGGTTGGGGAAAATAACTAGCTTAAAATTATAGTGATCCAGTTTCACGCACGACTTTTAAAAAGTTCAAGCAACACGTATGCTTTGAACACTGAGCATTTCACGCGTCACGAATTGAAAGGGGAAACTTCAATCTCTCTTCTTGCGTGCGAGCTTTCACGGAAATCTTGAGGTTTTTGACGAAATGAACGAAAAAAAATTTTCGTTTTGGCTTTAATCAAGTGTCACATATAAACCTTCTGTCGTCCTCTTATCATTTCAAACGTAGCGTTGAGTGGTGAGTGGGGCCAAAACTGATATGATAATGCGTCACTGATAGTCAAAATGCACCCACTCAGTTTGTTTTTTAAGGTGTTACGATCACGCACATCCAGTAAAGCTGCTTATTCAAATCTGCTCAAACAACAGAATACGGGCAGAATGCGTCTTAATGAGCTATTCACTCAGTATACTCCACAAACAACATTCTGGAATTTGAAAGTTAGTGGGTTCTTTAACAGGGGACTTTCTTTAGACGTTCTTGTCAAATTGAGGTGTGGAGTTGAACTCTTGTATTTATGAAGGGGGCTCAAGTTTTGCACGTTCTCCTCCACCCACCCCTCCCCCCGCCCCTCTCATGCCTCTTATATGAGTTCCGTCAGTTGGAAAATGGATGTCAACGTCAAACGGTTAGGGAACTTCACAGAGGTGCCTATGTTAAATTTTGCAACCAAGGCTCTTTATTTTCTTTCAAAGTGAGAATCGTGTCAGTGTTCAATTCCACCAGTATCAGAGTATCTGAAAATCTATATCAAGTGATCTTCATTTGAAAATGTAAAAAAATATTTATCAAAGCGAGCTAATCCAAATAAGAATACTTCGGCAACTTGCCGAAACTTTATCTGATAATTTTGCTATGTTCAACGCGGCTATGGATGACATTATGAGCGAGATAACTTTGTCACGTATTTAAAAACTATTCATAAAATGAAAAAAATGGGATAATTGCGATTATATCACCCTGGTTTTAGTTTTTTAGGTTCATATTTATTGTTTTGGAAATCGCAAGCAACTGTATTGAGAATACATTAATTTACTGGTGCCCGCTTTTTTGAGAAAAAACGTCAGTTATTAGAGAGGTTTTGGGTAGGCACGTATGTTTCATTAAAAGTTTCCGGTGATTGAGGTTAAAGTGGTTATATCCAAACGCAACAAAGCCTAGCACTGAAACTGAGTGGATTTCCTTTAATAAACTAGCTTTCAGTTTAATACGTTTAGTTCAAAACGTGTCTAAGAAGATCATACGTGGGGATCAGTTGTATTGACGAAAGTGTCAATTAACATCAAAATAGAAGAAGAAGGAAATAAGTTGAACGCATTTCCTCCCCAATTTGAGAAACGTTGGGCTATTCCATGATAGGGAAATTGGTAAAGAACAAATGATGAAAGATTACGCATATCATGACCCACACGTTTTTTTACCTATCGACAAAGCGATTGAGTTAATCCAAATAACGAAAGCTTTTTTGTCGACGTTTAAGAATAAATTTTGCCTAAGACTACAATGGGGGCTTAAAATTAACCCCTTCGCGTCATAATTCTCTCTTAACGAAAGAACGAGAAAATTCACGTCATGCTGCGGTAAGGTATTGCAGGTAAAGAAGTCACGAGTTTTACTTTTCGGCTGACTGACAGCTTTCACTGTGTACAAGAGTTACAGGCGATTATTGATTATTTACTACCGTTGTCACTTGCTTGTACTTGATGTTGACGCCCTTTCACTGTGACCTTCAAGAAGCCAGAAAGACCCTTAGAATCAGAACTGATGCATTTCCTAATTATTTGTCACCATTTGCATACATCTCTCCAGATATGACTATATTTTAAGCGCCTGTAATCGATCAAAAAGACAACGACTGACTTCCCTTTAACCCCAAGGATTCATTTTATTCAATTTAGATCGATCTGCACCATTGTATATTCTCACGGATGGCATACGATTGACTTAAAAAGGTAATTGATGCCGTAATAATCTCGTAACATATCGTAGGACGTCTAACTCCCATTTGCTGCGTAGAATTTTCATTTTAGTTCTAGTAAAGAATTCAGGAGACAAGAACAGCTGGCGACATTTGTTAATAACTAAATTGAACAAAGGCGTACTTCAAAACAGTGGCGTTTCGGGTATCAAGGAACTTAACGCTTTTCGGGAAGTTATAGTTACTCAGTTTCATTTTGCGCGGGTAAGTTTATTCTTTTCTTTTCTCAATACATAAGTGATTTTTTGCTTCACGCAGAACCGAGAATATCGACACTTGTTCTCCAAGTATTGCAAGCGCTTTTGACGAGATATTGATTCATATATTTTTCTTTGGCCTAAGAAATTTTGTTTTACAGTTCTCAACTGAATGTGCTTTCCATCGTCTCAGTTCTTTAGACACCGTATGAAAAACCTTATCTTTCATTGCTTGGATCGCTCAGAATTTTCTCAGTCGCCAATAAACATGCTTGAGTTTGCTGTGAAGCGATTATGTGTTACCATCTGCCGCAGCCACTAAACATTGCTTACATGAACATAGATCTGACTTGGTGTTACAATACAGATCATAACAAAAGGGATCTTTCACAGGAAATTTAGTAGAAGTCAACATCTTTTATAAACCTATCGCCAAAGACGCTATTTTCTACATTCTCCTCTGGCTGAACGGTTTTCAGTTAGACATTGCGACAGTTGCTGATTAGGAAGTCAAAGGGAAATTTAACGTCAAAATCACACTCGTGCAAAGAATTTGACACTTTGCCTTGTCATTTTCAGATACTGATTTTAATTAAAACGCAGGTAAATGTTAATCCGTGTCAATGTAAAACTAGTTACACATAGCACTGGCACATCCAGCTTCCTCTCCCCTCTTATTAATTTCTATTGCGGACTAAAATCTAAACGTGCTATATGCCCCGATAAAAACATTAATACAAAAGTATATTTTTGCCGTAAAATCATCACGTTTTCTCCCATCCTTTTTTCATTTCCGTAGTGAACAGCAAAATCACATTTCTAAACTAAGACTAAAGCACAGCTTCTCGATCTTGCAAAGTAATGGAAAACAGCACGTCTAACGGTACTACATCAGGAACAACCTCCTCGGAGTTCACTTCACGAGCACGCGTGTGGTACTGGGTAGTAAGGGGTCTGCTTGGTGTGATAATTTTGGCGGGAAACACTCCGGTCATCTACGTCATAGTCAGGTGTCACAGGCTCCAGAAGGCAGCTAATTGGTTTATTCTGTCATTAGCATTTGCGGACCTTTCTGTTGGGATTTTTCTCATCCCTGTTTCTTCCGCATGTGCTCTATGGATAAAATCTTGCAACTTCTCTGTCTTGGGAATATGCTTCGACCTTCTGCTCTTTGTCTCTATTGGCAACATGTGTGTGATGACTGCTGACCGGTACCTTTTCGTGGTGAAGCCGCTGACCTATCAACAGAACATGACGAATCGTCGCGTCTTACTGTGGATGTTAGCTGCATGGATCATACCGATTATCAATTCTCTCATTTCCCTCGCGTGGATATTCTCCGACGAGTCGGTAGCTTCAGTTAGAGCCTTTAGAATATATAGCACACTGCAAACTATCTCCTTCAACCTCCTTCCTTGTGCTGCGATGTTACTTATCTACGGACATATTTTCATCATTTCTAGAAGACATTCGAGGCGGATTCACGCCCTTACAAAAAATCAACGTTTAAGGCACACAAACGAAGCTAATTCCCCGCCGTTAAGATTGGAAAGGTCTGCAACGAGGGTCTTTGGCCTGGTGGTGTTAATTTTTGTGCTGTGTTGGTTGCTCTCGGCGTACAGGCATCTCTGTGATTATTTTTCCTTACCATGCCAGGTTACTTTTGAGGTAGTTTTGATATCTCGGCTTCTCATGATTATAAATTCAGCCATTAACCCTTTTATTTATGCTTTACTGAAGGAAGATATAAAGCAAGAAGTGAAGAAGATATTTTGTGGGCGTAAAGCCAGAACTGCCATTATGAACTCACGTATTCCATCGGTTCACAGTCACAGACATAGGGGTGATCTTTCTGACAAAATATCAGTCACCATACACGAAAACTAACTGTCGAGAAACATCGAGAAGGACACAGGCCTAGGCGAATTTTAACTCTTATTATCCAACTACACTTAGACGAGTACAAATAACGCCATAGACGAATACAAATATCACGCGGTATTTGTAGAGTACCGGTTAAACAGGTTTTCTCGCATCGCGCAAGCGAAGTATTGGATTGTAGTTACGAAAAAAAAAGTGGCGGACAATTTGAATCATATTTCCGACGACGAAGAGTCAAAATGGCTGGCAAATATAGTTCCAAGTTTATTACACGAATCGAACGAAGAAAAACAGCTTGACGACCAGAAAATTTCTTCATTTTACGAAGAAAATAGAAACTGCAACACAAAAACGCGCCAATTCCGTTCCGCTTCGCATACTTCTGTCACGCACTCCACGTAAATAAATATCCNGCGTTGGATATGAGATGATAGATAGCCAACGAGGCGCGTAGCGCCTCGTTGGCTATAATCATCTCATATCCAACAAGCGCGAGTGGAATAATTGTTTTATTAAAAACGCCCCCAAGAAATTATTTTGTAAGAAGAAACCGGATTTTTTAGCTCCCTTTTGATTTTAAACTGACGCCCACGCTTAACATATTTGTAGATTATGGTATATTGGCTCACATACCATAATGGCTAAGCCAATAAAAAGTCTTGACTTGCATTATCCAATGATTCAGTTTTTAATAATAAGATATATTTATTGTCCAAAGGTAAAGACCAGAGGAGTAATTTGGACTCCATTTCTGATTTTGACAACGTAGTAGCGCAAAAACAAACTTGACCAAACACTCCTAGTTGCCATAGAAATACAGGCATCGACAAAATTGACTTTGAACTTGTTAAAAAGTAGGATACCCTCTTCAAGTGTTGTACATTGGGGTCTCCATTTTTCTTGAGTTCCCCCTCTCCTCGACAGAGACACCTTACTGGTCCATACATACTAAAAACAAACAACAAATGCAAAATCTAATTAATAACTAATAGTCATCGACTATGAGAGGCGATTAAGGTTCTAAAGTAAAAAAATATAAAGTGTTTCAAACAGGTCAAAACTATTGCCGGCCAGAGAAGGCCCTCTGAGTTCCCACTGAACGGAGTTAAGCTGAAAGAGAGCAAAGTACAGAAATAATAAAAAAAAAAGTCTGTGGAATATTTATGCATCAGGGAGTTCTGAAAAATGACACATCACATATGGATCCAGTAGATGGGTAAAACTGGTAGACCTATAAAACCAGTATTCTGTTTAAATAAATATATATTTGCACCCAAAGCCAAACAAAGCTCGAAGTCTGGACTCAGAAATTCTCCGCATGCGTTGTCTCGTCGATTCCGTTTCTGACACTCGCACTTAGGGACGAGATCGTGAACTACTAAGACAAAAAAACTTTCGAATAAAGTTACCTTATCCAGAAAAACATCATGCAGCATTGCATTTGCTATCATAAGCTTGAAGCCCATTTCTGTCATGTCATTTTGATAAGCCTGCAAAGGTGGTTTTTTTTTTCATCCTAAACTACCTCTTTCTCTCTGTGCCCCCCCCCCCCATCTTCTGTCACATTCGAATCACTTACCCGATGCTTTTTGTGTACCAAGTTTATGAACCACTTCATTCTTAAAGAAAAGATGTGTGTGAAGCAATATTGTCACAGATTTAAGACAAAGAAATATAAATGTGGGGATACGTGCTCCAACCAGTTCACTTAGTCGGATGCTCTAACAAGTGAGCTTCAGAGAACTCGTTCGTGGGCTGCTATGCCATATTAAAACTTTAAATGAAGGCCTTGAAACACGAATCAGCCATCACGCATAGAAATCGAAAGCGTGTAAATCAGTCGTTTTATTGTAAGTCTACTTGTCGATAGGAATATAGATAGCGAGTAGCTTAGCCAATTAGATTGCAACATTGTCAGTGATGGACGGCTTGTAAATTCATGATAAACGACCTTAGTATGCGACAGGCTTCAAGTATGCTGTTAAGAACAACAATGTTGATTTCCATCATTGAACTCATAGCAGTGAAAACGGACAAATTTTAGGTTCATACTACACCGAATTCATGAAGAAAAATAGCGCTGACCAGGGCAGGTTGTTTAAAGCCGCTAACTCCTTATTATTAGAATCTAAGAAATTATCCTAGCCCGGCGGATCCAACGCTGAGGCGGTCGCAAACAACATTGGCAGGTTCTTCATTGACAAAGTGACAGGCATTCATTTTAAACTAGGAGGCGCTTTGAATTCCAGGTCGTTGACGCAAGATATGGATAACATTCCTGCTTATAACTCACTTACCAGCTTCAAATCGCTGTCAGTGGATGATATACGGCGCATTATTATGCGATCTTCTAAGAAGTCATGTTCACTAGATCCTGTACCCACGTCACTGGTAGTTGAGTGTATGGATGTTCTTTTGTCTGTAATTACGTTAATTATTAATTCATCTTTGCGGTCTGTTCAGTTCCCTGATTTATGGAAGGAGGCTATAGTAACACCTTTATTGAAGAAGTGGATCTGACCCGTCCAATTTTAAGAATCTACGCCCTGTCAGCAATTTATCCTATATTTCCAAACTCACTGAGAGCGCTGTCGCAGACCAGATTCAGTTGCACCTGGCTAAGAACAATTTGTATCCAGCATTCCAGTCTGCATACAGGAAATTTCACAGCACGGAAACCGCTTTGGTAATGACATTCTGATTAGCATGAATAAATGGCACGCGACTCTCCTCGTTCTCTTAGACCTGAGTCCTGCCTTCGACACTGTGGACCCTAGTATTTTGCTAACACGTTTAAGATCAAAGCTTGGTCTCAATGGAACTGCTCTGGAGTGGTTTCGCTCTTATCTAGCCGGAAGATCACAACGAATATCTGTTCAGGGAGCGCTTTCAAATGTCTTTCATCTTCGCTACAGCGTTCCCCAGGGATCGTGTCTAGGCCCCGTTTTGTTTAACATTCACTCAAGCAAAATCTTCGACATTGTTGGTCGTCACCTTCCAAAACTTCATTGTTATGCAGATGACTCCCAGCTTTATTTATCGTTCAACCCAAGCTGTGCTATTGGTCAAGACGAGGCAATTAGATCAATGGAAACCTGTATCTCGAATGTTGAGCAGTGGATGACCACGGATAAACTTATGCTTAATGACGACAAAACTGAATTTATTGTAATAGCATCACGACACTTCCTGAAAAAAGTTGCTGTTAATACTATCAGGGTCGGAGACTGTGATGTAGGCAAAGTGTCTGTGGTACGGAATTTGGGCGCGTGGTTCGATGATCAACTCACTATGGCCGTACACATTACCAAAATATGCAGTGCTGCTTTCTATCACCTACACAATATTAGACGTATAAGGAAACACCTTTCAATGGACTCAGCTGCGACTCTTATTCACTCCTTTATCAGTAGCCGAATAGACTACTGTAATAGTCTATTATACGGTGTGCCCAAGTGCCATATTGACAAACTGCAGAGAGTTCAAAACGCAGCCGCCAGACTTGTTGTTATGCAGGGCAAATTTTGCCACATAACACCGGTGCTCCGTCAGCTGCATTGGCTTCCTGTCTCATTTCGTATTAATTTTAAGGTTCTACTTTTAACTTTCAAAGCCATTCGCAAATCCGCACCGTCCTATATCAATGATCTTGTCAAAATTAAGCCTTTAAATTCAAGATATGGACTGCGTTCTAATGACGGAATATTGCTATCTTACCCGAATTTTAAAACTTTAAAAACCCTAGGCGACCGTGCTTTCGTTGCTTCGGCGCCGAAACTCTGGAATGATTAACCTTCGGAAATTAGAATGGCTAAATCTGTCGACACTTTTAAAAAACTCTTAAAGACGCATTTTTTTAGTAAGGGTTTTT